CAAGTTATGACCTCTCCGTCCAAGAATTACATATTGTCTGTGATCACAGTTGGCATCTGTGTACTCTTCCTGATCGGCCTGATGTGTGGACGCATCACCAAGCGGGTCACAAGAGAGCTCAAGGACAGGTAGAGCCTGGATCGCCTGCTGGAGAAATGCCTGCCCAGTGCCCGGTTTTGTACAGCCCTCCTCTGTATAGTCTACCCACCCCCTCTTGTGAGAGAGGAGAGTAAAAAGAAAAAAAAAAAATTAGAACAGCAGCAGGTGTTGGCTCAGTTTTCCCATCCTGGATCTCATCCACAGCATCTTCATCCTATGAAAGTTTATGTGCAACATTGGCAGCCCAGCCAGCAGCTTTTGTTATCCCTTTGTTAGCAGACTCTCGTTTACCTGCCTGTAGACAAGTCTCTGTTGTACTGTTGGAACTGCCTTCACTCTCCAAATCAGACTGAAACGACCTGCAGCTCAAGCAGTTTTTAAGTAAATTTTTAAAGGAAGACATATATCTGCGTACCAACAATATGATTTAGGTAACGGTTCGTACTGAAATACAGTCCTCCTCTGTGGCTGGGTGAAATGGAGGCAGGAAGGTAAAGGGTAAATTGCATCTCGCACCACAGTTGGCCTTGTTTTGGACATCTTGCTCATCTTGTGTAAAGCATCTTCAGAGCATAGTCTGGGACAACCTATGGACACCGGCACCGGTGTCCCCTCCTAGTGAATATCCTGCTTTTGTTACTGTGGATTCTTTTGGCTGAAAAGATGTCCTCCCTTTCTTCCTCTGCTGCTCAAGATAGAATAAAGTACCGACCAGGATTAAGTACTCATGTGAGCTGTACGACTTCAGTAGATTGAAGACATGGCGTGGACACGAGGCTGTAGAGCCTGTCCGTAGTGTGCAGTGCTGCTGTCAGCAGGCAGGAGGTGCCTGGATTGGTTACTTGGTCAGTGTTTTTATTAGTGATGATGCAGTGACGTTTTAACACTCCTTTTCTTTCACGTTGCTGCTGTTAAGCTGTTACCCTTCCCAGTTAACTTCCTACAGGTAGTACTGACACCCTGGCAGCACAGTGCTTTGTCAGTGATGCAGGATGCGACTGAACGCTCGACCTGGCCGCTCTGACAGCTACGTGTGGGCCAGCACAGTGGTTTGTAACTGGCCTCCACCTTTTGAATTGTAGCGCTGTTTTTAGTTTCCTCACAGCGACAGTCGATGAGGATAGCAGCTGTGTTCCCTGGGATGCAGGTGCTGGTCCTGAAAGCCAGGTAGGAGGGGAGGGGAAGAGAATGGTATGGTGTGAAAGGCAGACGTGTCGGTGTGTGCACATGGGTGCCCTGGAAGGAGGTGTTCTGGAAAAGCTGTGGCTGTCATCTTTGTTCCTTTAGTGCTAGAAGGAGAGGTGGGGAAGCCACATGCTGTGGTCAGAGCCTGAGCAGATGGATTTCCCCAACGCTTTCGACCTAGAAAGGACTGCACAAGAGCCAGCACAGTGTGTACAGTAGGGTGTGCTTTATCAGCCTTCTTGATGTGCTCTCCTGCGTGTGTGCTGCAGTAAAAATCACGTGCCTGACCCTGTCTAGCTGAGGCTGATGCTTAAACCATGACTTTATTTTCCCTCTTAGCACGCTGTGAGGTGAGATCTGACGTTTTCCAGTTCTCCGCATTATTCTCTGATAATGAGGGAGGTGGCTTTGAGACATCCTGGAATGTGGACCAGCAGATTCCCATGATGCTGCATGTACAGAAAGGCAAATGCAAAATACTGTGATGGCTTTTGCTGCCTCTTTGAAGTGCTAGAAAGCTGTACCACATGAAGCTTCTTGCAAGCGTTCCTTCATCCTGCTCTGAGGATGGACAGCAAGTGGTTGGTGATGCAGGTGATCCTTGCTCTGCTAGTGAGCCCTTCTGTCTCTGAGCATTCTGAGCACAAGGCTGGGTGGTAAAGGAAGTCTGAGCATGAGGATTCAGTAGAGGACTGGTGTGTGCTGGTGTCAGTGGGGTCGTTAGGTAGAACAGAAACCAAACCTGCATTTCCTCCCCCCTTATCCCCAGTGCTGATGGAGCTAAATGAGTCCTCTGTAAACGTGAACTGGCATGGAAAAGGAGCTCTGTCACACACAGAGCACAGGTGTATGACGCTTCAGATGTTAATTTGGCAGTTACAGATCATTTGGTGTGACAGTCTGGGAGCTACCATTACTGCGGCAGAGGTGGGAGAGAAGGGGAATCGCGTGCAGTCTTGCTTGCATGATACAAGCCCTGCTTCTTGAACATCTCTCAGGCACAAGGAAATTGCTGTTGGGGCTTTTTTTAACCTCTTGTGACTTCCAAAAAGGCATTTTGTAACCTGGTTAGATTGAAAAGCCGAATGAAGATGGTTTGTTGTCTAGAAGTAGCATCTTCCACTGAATTCCAAATGAATGGCGTTGCAGTGAAAGTTGTAGGTTTGTAGCTATAGCTCTGAATGTAAACCATGTTCCACTGTGAAGGTAACTTCTGTGTGTTCTGGGTTGGGTTGTTGTTTTTTTTTTTTTGCTTTGTGATGTGGAGAAGGTGGATGCAGGGGATGAGCCAAGCTTCCTGCATTCTCGCTGGCTTCGGAGATGGCGTGCTGATGGATTCTGATGTGACACTTGAGAATCGTGAGAGCCCGCAGTGCTGGGGGCAGAGGCAGATGCTGACTGCATCTCTGCAAGTTTCCTTCCAGCATCCTTTGTGGCTGTGCATTTGTAAAGGTGTGCTGCTGGGCAGAGGGATCAGGCCTTTGTAGCGGTAAGCCTTATGCTTGTGTTTTAAAATTGGACTTTCTGACACTGCTGATGACCAGTTTTGCTTTTTTTTCCTTTACTGGATATGTACCCAATCCCAACCTCGAGATGCTCTCCTCCTCCTCCTCTATACCTAAAAATCTAAGAGTTCTCAAAAGCACAGAAACCCCACCAAAGTACTCTTCCAAAATTAGCCTGTGTTGCCAGCACAACACCTTGCCCACAGGTTTTCCATTGCGATGGTGGTAAGAACTTCTGCTGCTGCTGCCTTGAAATCAAGGGAGCCTGTTGCGGTTTGGTGGAAAGCGCTAGAACTGTAATCAGCCCGAAAAGCGTTGGTGGGGGGAAGGTTGCATTCTGCAGAATGCTGTGAGAGTCTTTGTCCTTACTGCAGAACCACGTGCAGAGCTTGCCCTTGGTGTGGGGACGCTTGTGCTGCTAGGAAGGTACAGGCAGGAGAGGGGCTGGCAGCCAGCAAGGCGTGCAGCTCTTTGTAGTTGTGTTTCCTGATGGTGCGCTGGGAGGACGTGGGCAGCTCCAGCTAACCTCTTAGCATTCATTCTTGCTGACCTTAAGAAATAACCTTATTTATTGCTCGCCTGGCGGGTCTAACTGAGTCCTTTTGCTGAGTTCCAGCGTAGCTTCCTCCTGCCTTGCTTCTGCCCTTCAGGCTGTTGCATGACTGACGTGGCTAGGGATGGTGTTCCTGGTGCTTGCAGTGATGCCTGGCTGTATCTGCCTTACCAGAGAGGACTGGGGAAGCCCGAACAAACGAACCCGCAGGGATTGTGTGGAATGGCAGTGGTGGAGGGGATGGGATGGGGGCAGCAGCCCTCCAGTCTGTAAGCACAGAAATGTATCATGGGGGGAGAGCAGCGGTAAAGCAGAGCTGCCTTGCATCTGAGCATGTTGTAGAGGAGGAAGCGCGCTCCAGGAGGGATGGTGGCTTCTACTAAAACAACTCAGTGTTTCGTTTGCAGTGTGGCAGGGGGTGTCTGTCCCTCTTCCCCCCCCACCCCCAGCAGTGTGAAACAGACCCAGCAACCTCTCATTGTGCAGCGAAGGCTGTTTGAACTTAACTCTTTTTTTTTGTTGGTTTTTAATGTGACATTAACGAGACTTTTCTTTTCTTTTTGTAAATTGTTTTCCTTTCTGTGTATAAAATCCTGGCCGTTTCTCGTTTGGTTGTGTTTTTTTTTTTTTTTTTTTTTTTTTTTTACATGTTCATGCTGTGTAATTTTGAGGTGTTACTGAGATTCTGAACATAATGTGCATTTTTTTTTTCTGTACAGATGAAATGGGAGAATTTAATAAAAAGAGTCTGCAGGTTTTTACTTGTTGTGTTCACATTTATTTTTGATTCTGGCCTTCCACCCTCCCTGTAGATGCTCTCGCTCCCCCAACGCAATCCGCAACGCGCTGCGTCCCCTTTAAGGGAAACCCATCGGGGGCGTGGCTAGCGGTAACCACGCCCCTTCGCTCAGTGCTGGTCTGCGATTGGCTGCGATGCGGCGCGCCGAGCGGCTGTCGTGCTGCCGCCCGCCTGCCGTAAAGCGCGGAAGGTCAGTCCGGCCTCCCGCCGCCAGGTGAGCCGCCGCCCGGCCCGGCTCCCCCAGCCCCGGAGCGGCCGCAGCCGGCCCGTTCGCCGTCCCCTCGTCCTCCCATTCCCGACCGCTCCGCGCCGCCTCCGTGGATCCGCCGATAAGCGGCGGGGAGCGGCCCGAGGCGGTGCCGGCGCGGCCTGTGCAGCCCGGCGTCGGGTCCCGAGGCGCGGAGCCGCCCGCCGCAGCGCCCCTCGCTGTTAAAAGGGCCGCCGTGCCGCCTCCCCGCTTCCACCTCTTCCTCGCTGCGGTCGGCACACACCCACCCTCCGATCCTTCGCTCTCGGCTTTCCGCGTCCTCTCGTACCGGCGCCGAGGTGAGCGGCAATTCTCGTCCCTTCCTCCCCGCAAGGAGCGGTGTCTGCTCGCGGCGGTGCTGGCACGGAACGGCCGGGATGTTCCTGCGGCTGCTGGCCGACGTGCGGTGGCGTGGGGCTGATCCCAAGTGGAGGAGCGCGGCCCGCTGCCGGAGCGCCTCCGGGACGGCCGAAACGCAGCCGGTCCCCCTGCCGGCACAGGCCCGGGTGGTCATCTGCGGGGGAGGCATCGCGGGCACCTCGGTGGCCTATCACCTCGCCAAGCTGGGTTGGAAGGATGTCGTCTTGCTTGAGCAGGGCAGGTAAGGATTTTTGGAAATAAAAACGGAGCTGAGTGCACAGCAGCACGTGCTGTAATGTGCGGTTTTTGCCTCTCAGCACTGGAGCCATGGAGCAGGCTGATATTTAATAACAACACACAACTGCTGCTTCATGAGTACAAGAAGCCCTTCTCCCCCATTCCTTCTCCCCCCTTCTTCTTGGCTCCTGCCCTCTCTCCAGGAGCAGGAGGTCAGCAGTGGGTGCATGAGGGTTTCCCTCTGCCACGCCTTCCCTCTTACACTTGTATCCTGTTGCAATATGGACTCTTCCCAGGGGCTGCAGTCTGTCAAGAAAACCTGCTCTGGTGCTTTTCACCTGTAAATATGATTTTATAGAGTCACCACTGATGTTTCTAGTGGGCTGAGCCATGCCTTGCAGTGTGTCTGTCTGAGAGCTGTCTGAAGGTGTGCTCCATAGGGCAACCCTGGGTTTCTCTCCCAGGATCCATCTCTGCAGCCCTCTGCCCTCAAATCCTGGCTTGCTGCAGAGATGAAGTCTCTGTCTAAAAGCAGAACTCACAAACTGCGGGCCTGAAATCCACGCATTCTCACTCGCACTAAGCTTCTGTTCAGTGGCATTGTGATGATGCTAATTTCTCAACTGACCCCTAGAGGTGTAGGGTGTATTTTCTTCACCTACGGACTCCCAGCAGTAAGCACTGAAGGCACTTGCATGTAGGGATAGGAAATGATGGGGTCAGCAAAGTTGCTTGCATTGTTTGTACATACACACATGCGTTCAGAGGAGATTTAGGTTTGCCTCCCGTCTTCCCACACAGATCCAAGCTGCAGAAGTCAGAGTAGCTGACACTGTTGCTCTGTAAGGAGCGTGCTGCTGGTAGAGGAGGCTCAAGAGATGCAGCCGAACTAAACTAGTAGAGCACACCAGCTCTGTCTGTGGTTTACTTGCAGGTAATCAAGCAAAACACAAGGTGGCTTGGAAAGATGGACCATTTTAACACATCCAAAAATCGGTATAGATCATCCCACCCCTAGTGACCACCTCCAGAAGCAGGAAGTGCTACATACCATAAAGTATTGCACCACCACCACGGCTCAGAAGAGATTGCAGGAGATGGGGAGGTTGTAGGTGGACACGGCCTATTTGGTGCCCTGTCAGCTGGTGAAAGGCTTGGGTTGTCTGCTTTGTTCTGTCACAAAGTTTAGTGCCTATCTGCAAAGTGTGTGTTACAGTTTGGCTGAACATAAGCTAGAGAAACATTTTGTGAACTCCTTGTTGAGTTGAATCAGAAGCCCGTGGCAGGGTTTAATGCATCTTGTTGGAAATGTACTGCCAGCCTTTTCCTGCTGTGTAGATTCCTGTTTTGGAAGTTGACTCTTGGTCTGTTCATGAGGCAGTCTGGGGGCCTCGTGCAGGAGAGTGCTGAGGGATTTGAAGTGTCTGCTGCTGCTGCACCTGCAGGTACAGCACTGAAGTGGCTTCCCATCAGCTGACTAGCAGGGAACAATTCTTTCTCTAAGCTGCAAAGGCTCTGAGAAATCCAAGTTAACTTTCCTCCAAGGGAAGCCCTGCTTTGGAGGTAAATCCATCTGGTAGGCAGGTTGATTGAGTGCAAGATCATATTTTTTTCAAGTGATTTCTTTGAAAAGTGCCGACATGCAGGACAAGTCAAAGAGGAGTTAATTTGGAACAGAATGCATTTTCAAAAGAGAGATAAAGCAAAACGTCCACCTTACAGCTTTTGAGTCGTCCTGAGGGGCAGAAGAGGGGCTGGTCCCTGTTTGTGATGCAAGGTGAGCACAGAGGGGGTGCTCTTGGTCTGGTGTGCCTGGGGAGCCTTTCTGGGGCACACACTTGCCTCTCTGCCTGCCCATCAGCTGGATGAGGCTGTCCTTGTGGCTTCTCTTGCAGGTTGGCTGCAGGTACCACGCGCTTCTGTGCAGGCATTGTGAGCACAGCCAGGCCCGTGTCCCTTGAGCTGAAGATGGCACACTACTCCAACAAGCTGTACCAGCAGCTGGAGCAAGAGACAGGAGTGCAAACAGGTACCAGAAGCGTAAGCACTGAGTAAGCTTTGGAAGGTTGGATCAGTGAAATAATGCTCCCATGTCTTAATTGGTGGTGGTTCCTGCTCAAAGAATGAGGTGGATGCAAAAAAAATGCAGTCAGAAGAATGGGAAGGAAGGTGTCAGATGGGCAGGCTGAAGGCAGGCTGCCTGCAGAGCGCGGGCCTTCTCCCTCTCATCTGTAACCTGGACAAACAGGTGAATTTTCCCAAGGACACTAAGAGAGATCAGAGCAAACGAGCCATGTTCTGCAGCAGTTCACTTCTCAGAAAGGCAGAAAGGTTAACCAGCTCCAAAGTGCAGGCAAAGCAAGATGTTTAACTCCAGTCTCACCCTGGAAACGTGTTGAAATTCTTCCTCTCCTTCCAAAATGCTGGGGCACGTGTCTGGTGTGAAGAAGTGAAAGCACTCTGCTGCCAAGGACCTGTGTTACATGTCATACTCGACACATGTCCATGGCCATGTCTGTGATTAAGGTTGGTATTAAGCTGCTGCAGGTGGTAGAATCACAAAACATGTGCTTCTGCTTGGTGAGGTTTTGTTGCTCTGCGTAGCTGTTGGATGACGTGCTCGCATTTTTGGCAGTAACCTCTCTTCTCTTTTAATAGGTTCCACGTGTGGAGTTTTACCGTTTTGTAAGCATGAGTAAATGTAGAATGAGGGAGAGTCAGAGCACAGCTCAGAACTAAAGCACTTCTTGTCCTTTTTTTTGCCATTTCTGGTTGCTCGCTGAGGTTCAGGTTGCGTGGGGCCTGGGATCTCCTGGCTCTCGAGTAGTGGAAGCAGCGGGTCTGAAACGAAAAGGAATTTGAGATCCTGCCCAAATCTGACTCGACTCTGGTGATTGTCACAGGGTACGTGAAGACAGGCTCCGTGTCCCTGGCTCAGACTCAGGATCGGCTGATCTCCCTGAAGCGCATTGCTTCATCTCTCAAGTATGTATAAGCAGGAAGCACGTCTGATTCTGCAGCCTGCCTCGGTTCTGCCCCGTGCCTGACGGCGGCGTTTCCCCTGTGTTCTGTGGCAGCGTCTCGGGGATCCCCTGCGAAATCATCAGCCCCAAGCAAGTGGCACAGCTCCACCCGCTCATCAACATCCACGACCTGGTGGGGGCCATGTATGTGCCTGAGGATGCACTGGTGCTGTCTGCCAACGTCAGCCTGGCTCTGGCCACAGCTGCCTCGCGGAACGGTGCGTCTCTCATTTCCTTTCTTTCTGGTGTTCCGCATCCAGGTGTTCCCGTGAGCACTGAAGACCAAAAGCTGCTTGTTTTTATGAGGCTGCTGTTCTGTAAAATCTGTTGTTTTTTTTTTTTTCCTGCCTGGCTGAATGTTTTATCGCATCCTGAGTCCTGTTTCATCAGAAATACGGCCCTTCGTAGGAGCCAGATTAAATTAGACGTGGGAGGAGTTTGAATAATCTGAAATGCAAAAATAGAACTGTCTCTGTTCACTCTCAGAGGGTGGTGAGGCACTGGCACAGGTTGCCCAAGGAGGCTGTGGATACCCCATCCCTGCAGGCATTCAAGGCCAGGCTGGATGTGGCTCTGGGCAGCCTGGGCTGCTGGTTGGTGACCTGCACACAGCAGGGGGTTGGAACTGGATGAGCGCTGTGCTCCTTTTCAGCCCAGGCCATTCTGTGACTGGGCACATTGCTTTGGCAGGAGGTTTGGAAGTGAAGTGGGAAACACTGTTGGTGGGGCACTCTGACAAACTTGGAGCAGTGTGAAAGTGGGGCAGAGGTTAGGCTGGATGACAGAGCTGAGGCTTACTGAGGGTTCAGGTCCCTCAGGTTGGGAGAAGTGATTTAGGAAGGCTCCTCTCTTAGTTTCTTTTAGCCTTGCTCTGTTCTGCATGCTGATTTTCCATAACAGAACTGATTTTCCATTAAAGAAGCAGTCTTGCACCCAAAGCATCAGGCTTTGTTGTATGCAGGACCATAATTGAAAGCAGTCTGTGGTTGGGTTCTTCTTCACTGTTACTACAAGGCTTGGGTTGTCATGTGGCAAAGAACAACTCCTCCACTCAGCAATGGAGTTACCTGCCTGCTGTTGCACAAATAGCAGGATTTCACTTGGGCCAAGCACGGGTGTTTTGTCTTCAAGCAAAAAAGAGCTTAGTGATAGCAGCCTGACACTGGGGCACGAAGGCTGGTGGTGGGCTGAGCTCCTTCTGTCCTCTGCAGGCGTCCAGATCCACGAGCGGACGAGTGTCAGCCATGTGTCAGTGCAGAAAGGTCGTGTGACCGGAGTTGAGACCGACAGGGGACACATTAAATGCCAGTACTTCGTCAACTGTGCTGGCCAGGTTGGATTATTCAATTGCTGTTGTCCTTGCAATGCCAGCACCCAAATGGTGTTTGCTTCTAGAAGCAGAGCCCAGCGTTGGCTGTGCTGTACAAATCTCTTGCTTTTGTGTTTGAAGCTGGCCTATCCTCATCAAGGTCTGGCTTTTCTGAATGTTACGTCAGAAACAAATACAGTCTTTGGCCTAGATGGTTTAGATCCTAAGAAAACAGGAAAAAAAATGTATTTATTTAAGGCTTAGGCCCTGAGAACCACATCTTACTTGGCCTTTTGTGAAAGCCAGCCCGCAGAGCTGATCTGTTTGCATGTGCCTTTCTTATTAGAGGTTGTTTTCTTCTTCTCCATTCTAACGTGCGCTTCTTTTTTTTCCTGATTTCAGTGGGCCTATGAGTTGGGCCACTCTGGGGAGGCACCAGTCAACATCCCAGTGCATGCCTGCGAGCACTTCTACCTCCTGACACATCCTCTGAAGGAACCTCTGGCAAACAACATCCCCAGTAAGGGCTCTTCACTGTATCAGAGAATCACATCCCCCTTCCCAGGCGGTGTCACTGTGACAGGAGGGCCAGCTGTGCACTGTCAGTTCTCAGCTCAGCTGGCAGTGGGATGTACTTCACCAAATTGCTCTGAATGTCTGTTTCAGTGGTAATGTATGTCATAGAGTCGGCAGGGTTGGAAGGTGGAAAAGGCTGTTGGAAAGCTTTTGCTGCAGAAACTGATTTTCCGAGTTTGTCAGCTGAGCAGATGAATGACCTCAGGCCTCGCTTGCCTGGTTGGCGTGCCTAGATTAGGAAAGAGGGTTGTTGCTCCTGTGGGCTGGAGAGGGTGTTAGCCTTGGTGCTGTGCTTTCCTTGCAGGCTGCTGTGCCCAAATGGCCCATGTATTCCTTTCCTCCAACTGAAGCTAAGGCTTTGCAATGGCATTTACATGTCTTTGAGCTGTAGGGGCAATCCAAGCTTGAGGTAATTGCTCCTCCCCCACGTTGTGGCTTTTGGATCTCTTAAAAGCCCTCTGTTTGGAAAGCATTTGGGGAGTAGAAAGCTTTGCTTGTTTACTCTCAGTCTTTAGTAATTTCTGCTTCTAGTGAGCAATACCTATTTTATCCAAGGAATTCAACTCTCTGACCAGACTCTCTGGAGTAATTAGAATTATATATTCACAGCTTTTTTGTGAGCAGGGGCAAAAGGTTGCAATAGGACATGTCAGGTGGGGTTTCATAAGGTGCTTCAAGTGGATGCAGCCATTAAGGAAGCCATCCCGACCTGACTGCCTGCTCTCACCCCCTCGCTGCCCATCTTCTTTGTGCCCGCAGCCTGCAGCCAAGTGGATCAGCGACTTGTGTGCATTAAAAATCACTGTTGCTAATGCCCCAGGAAAATGAGGGGGTGGGCAGGACTTCTCCTGGTGGTGTGTCAGGTCCTGGGTGCAGTTCCAGTGGAATTGAGTTTGTAATCCAGTGTAAGAGTTTGTAAGCCCTGGCCACAAGGCATGTGTGGCACTGTCCTTCTGCTGGCTTTGGTGCTCTTTGCACCACCCTTAAGTTAACCAGAAGTTAACCTGAGCGATCGTGGTGGGAATTAATGAGTGGTCATGTGAGAGGCAGAAGTGGTGTAGGAGCATGAGTGTGGGAGGCTAACCCTGTTTGCTCTCCTGGCTGTGGGCTGCTAGCTTGGCCCAGCCCATCACCAGACCCCGTTGGTGGTGTTTGCCATGAACGTGCAGACATAGCGGTCCCTCCATTCCCTTCCTCCCTCTTTTTCTTTCTCCTCAGCTGTTGTGGACCCCGATGGCAGGATCTACATCCGCAGCTGGCAGGGCGGAATCCTCTCAGGGGGCTTTGAGAAAAACCCCAAACCTCTTTTCACGGAGGGACGGAACCAGCTGGAGATCCACAACCTCCAGGAGGACTGGGATCACTTTGGTACGTGGTGGGGGACGGAGTCCTGCAGCAGCACAGCGCGTGGCTTTGGCAGAAGGCAGACTTGGCAGCCAAGTGTATTTCCAGTGCAGGAAGTTTGCTTTGCAGACAGAACCTGGTTTTGCTGCTTTCCAGACTTCATTCCACACTGACAGTGTTGTGGTTTGTTGCTCTCCACATATGCTATCTTTTTCCTTCCATATTGCTTACTTGTGTTCTGATGTTCTGGATGTACTTCTGACACGGGGAGTTCTTTGTGTGGGAAGGAACGCAGTGTGGTTTAGGAGTCCCTTTTTTCCTCATAACTTTGTGTGTGCCATCTCCAGTTCTCCTTTTGCCTTGGGGAACCGACTTTGCCCTTTGTCAGAGCTCTTTGCTGCCCTGTGGATGCCTGTGCCTGTGACTCCAGACACAGCTAGACTTTCCCTGCATTGCTAGTGTGTTCTTCCAGCTACTCCCCACCTTACACTGATTCCTTCTAGTTTTGTGTCCGAGGTAATGATGATACCATGAGCCATTCCAACTCCAGGGAGGTGAGTTAGAGCCAGGGTTGTCTGCAGTTTAGGGACCTGCAGATGGCTGCAGACCTGCTTGAAGTGTTAGCTTCACAGAAGAGTGCCCAAGCTGTGCACCCACTTCCTCTTTGGCTTTCTAAATGAGAAAGTGTTGCCTGCACCCACAGATTGCCTGAGTTTCAGAAGCAACTGCATGCCACATTTCAGCATGACCCTTTCATCAGTTCAGACTACTGAGCAGTTGAATAGAGTCAGAGCTTACTCAGCCAATATTTGATCCTTTCCTAGGGCAGCAGTTCCTGTGGTTTGAGCTCTTGCATTACTGCTTTGATCTCTTTGCTTGGAACACCTTTTGATTTTTGAAATGCTCTGTGCAGCTGCTTAAATGTTGGGTGTAAGTACAAATCTAAAACGGATCCCTCTTTTTATCAGTAAGAATAAAAGAGTCTGTAATGACAGGCTCTCCCTCTGGAATTGCAGTGCACGAGAGAGGGAAGAAAAGGAGCAGGTCACAAAGACCGTTTCTGTCTGTGATTTCTTAGGTAATGTGAAGTCTGAAAGCGTTGGTGTTTGAAAAGCTGAGGAGTGTTACTGGTGCTGAGGGCTTCGTTTCGCTGTACAAAGCGATGGTGTCGGTTGTGTGCAGGCATCAGCAGTCAAAGCAAAAGATAGGAAGTTAGGCGTGGAGCAGCAAACAAAGTTGTTATGTCGCCCTAAATCCTTGGCTTGCCAGATAAGAGGTGTTGTTTAGGCTCCTTGTCTCCAGAGAGCATCATGGTACTGGAGAGGAGCTGGTGGGAGAGGGGCCGGTGGCCGAGCACAGCTTGGAGCAGCTTCCCAAGGAAGGGACTGAATGGGTAAGGAAGAGAGAGAGGACCAAAGGGTGATGGACGGGGGTCCAGGGAGGCCTGAGTGGGGTGGAGAGGCGAGGTGGGGAGCTCCTGTGCACTCTCTCTTCTGCAGTGGCAGCTGGAGGCCATCATAAAAGGTAATCAAGTGTGAGGTTTGAAACAAGAGGTGATTCCTCATACCATACACGTGTGGAACTCCTTGGCAGCACGTGCCAGGGGTCTTCAGAAGATGTGGGGAAACAGTCGAAAAAGAAGAGATCGATTAAGGGTTACTATTTAGTGAATATCACTTACCTGTCAATAAATAATAGTTTTGTTTAGTAAAGACTGTTTAGCATTTAGTAAATATTATCTTTGTATTTAGTAAATACCATTTAGGTTGAAGGGAAGGCTTACCAGGCTTTTAGGAGATGCTCTTAGCTGCAGGTAAGTGTGGGCTGGCAAGACGTGTGAGGCACATGTCGCACAGCCTTGTCTCTTCTTGTTGCTCTCTAGGTTTCTATTGCTTTCCCTAACAAAACCAAACACATCTGCAGTGTGGAAAACAGCACCGACCTCTTGGTGTGAATCAGTGTGGCTGTTTGTAGCTGAAATGAGAGCTGTGTTCGGGCAGCAGCCTGCTGGCCTGTCTGGCCGTGAAGCAGCTGATGGCTCTGCGATGTGACTTCTGGTCTTTTTGTTTGTCTCGGCTCCTAGAACCCCTGCTGAGCTCCCTCCTGCGCAGGATGCCCAACTTGGAGGCCCTGCAGATCATGCAGTTGGTGAACTGCCCGGAGTCCTTCACGCCAGACATGCGGTGCATCATGGGCGAGTCGCCCACCGTGCGGGGATACTTCGTCCTGGCTGGAATGAACTCGGCTGGGATCTCATATGGTGGGGGAGCAGGCAAGTAAGTGGTTTCTCACTATTATGTGTGTAAGTAAGGTTTGAACTAAGGAAGAAGGCTGCTCGGATGTCGCTGTTTGTCACAGTCCTGCTGCTGCTGAGAGAGGCCGCTGTTGTCTCCAGCTTGAGGGATGGAGGGGAGCAGTGTTGCTTTCTGGTGATGTTCTGTGTGTATCCCAGTCTGTGCTGGCCTCTCCTGTCCTGCACACCTCTCCAGGCACCACATTCCGTGACCAACAGCCTGCTGGGGATCCAGCGAGCTTCCTGAGCTAACCAGTCCCAATTTTTGTCTCCCAGGAATCTGCTTTTATCTCATCAAAGCTTATTCCTTCATCTTCTGTACTCTGTGTACCCTTTAGTTACATGTAGTTTTATTATTTGGCTGAAACCATTTGCGTTTTCAAGTTGTCACTGTGGATAATTTCTCTCAAAACCGTGAATCTAAAGCAGGCAGAGCATCCATAGGTGGTGCCAGGTGTGGCCAATACAGCTAAAGGCAGCTAGAGATGTAATCATTTCCCAGCACATTCCAGCTCCTGTGCTAATGCAAATATTTTGACAGGCATATAAGTGTTAACCCAGCAGCAAAGTTGCTTGCAAAATGATCATTGCTTCCTCTGATTGCCATTTGGGTTTGGCAGCCCAGCATCCCTTCTGCTGTACAGCTTTCTTAACAAACTGCTCGGCTAGTGCTAATATCTGCATTTTTCCTCTAGTTTCTCTCCATTATCAATTAGCTTAACTCACCAAGGGAAGGAAATCATCACATTTCATTGCCATAGCATAATACGGAGAATCTTTGCCGTGAGGTTCTCTAAGAGTCAAAATCTCTTCTGAAGCTAAAAACCAGTTTTCCATTTGCTGCTACAGCCTGAAGATGAGCTTATGCAACTTTTAATGATCAGCCTCAAACCCTTTGTTTTTCTGCTCACTGGCTGCAAGCAGATCCTTTAGCTCTGCTTTTACCTGAGCTGCCTTTGTCCCTTAGCTCTGGAGCCTTCCTTCCTCACTGCTGGGAGTGAAGCAAAACATAACTTGGCTGGTACCTGGTGCCAAAGTGAATGCTGTCACCGAGGCTTTGTGGCTGAGCCTGCACAAGGTGCTGAGAAATGACAAAGCAGTCAGCCTGCAGACTGCAGCCTAAGGACCCAGCACCGCTTTGTGTAGTGCAGCACGAGGGCTTGATGCTGTCAGCCAAGCTGCCTGTCCAGTCTGGCTCCGTTCAGCACATGTCCTTCACTCCCTGCTGCCCTGTATTTTTCATCCTAGTGGGAAACTAATAACGTGGAGGGTTGATGGATGGCTTTTATAAAGGAGAAGTCTTCCAGATTCAGGATACCATTTTAGTTCTGCCCTCTCCCAGATGCTCTCATGTCCGAATCGCCTTGTTTCTAACTTCGAAACTTTTGTTCCGCTGATGAATGTCTTGGTTTTTCTTCACTGCTTCCATCAGGTACCTGGCAGAGTGGATGGTACATGGCTACCCATCCGAGAACGTCTGGCCTTTGGATCTGAAGCGTTTTGGCACTCTTCAGAGCAGCCGCACCTTCCTCCGTCACCGTGTGATGGAAGTCATGCGTAAGTGAGGGCTCTGCCTCGCCAGGACGTGCAACCATTTGCTCTTTGCTGCACTCTCTGTCTGTCCTCTGTCAGCTGTTGCTGCTCTGAGAACCATTTTCATCCTGCTGGTCTCCCCTGGACAGTTGGAGGGATGCATTTCCCAGAGGGAGGGGGAATGGTGCTGGCTTCGTGTTAGTGGTGTTCTCGTTAGCCTTTCTGGAAGAGATACTGTTGGTAGGGTGCTTCTTCTTATTCCTGTGCTTTGCCTCTGCTCTGGGGAACTTTGTGCTTCTCTGTGTAGGATTCCAGCCTAATGAAACAGCACCAAGGTCTGGATTGGAAATAGTAGGGCTATCTATCTCAGCTCAGTACTTTATGACCTGAAGAGAAACTTAGTATTTATAAATAAATATTCTGATGTCTTTCAGTTGTACTCCCTACTGGTAATGAGGGAGGATTGTAGAATGGCCTGTGTTGGAAGAGACCTTTAAGATCATCTCATTCCAACCCCCTGCTATAGGCAGGGACGCCTCCCTCTAGAGCAGGTTGCTCACATTCCCAGCCTGGCCTTGAGCCCTTCCAGGGAGGTGTTATCCACAAGGATGCTTGTTTTCTTAAAAAGGATATTTAGATATTGGCTGAGAAAGTGTAGGAGACATCTGGAAAAGCTTCAGTGATTAGAAAAGGCTGAGCTGCTGATATTTGAGGAGGTGAATTCGATGGTTCCCCCACTGTTAGTGTTGTCAGAATGAGGAGTGTGTGATAGAGAGTGCTGTCAGGGGGGAAGCGTGCATCACTAATGTGAGTCTGTGTGACTTCACAGAAAAGAGAGCTTTTGCTCAGGTGTATCGACAGTGTAGTCATGAGGCCACAGGTATCTACAGACCTCAGTGCATATTTCACGAGGCTGCAGGTGTCTACAAAGGCATTCTGTGCAAATACCATTAGATTTTGCACAGCTACAAAAGGATCAAAACAGATTTGCCCATGCCCAAAAATGGAAGAGGAAATCAGAATTGTTTTGAGGGAATTCCCTCGATTTATAAGAAGAGGTATAAGAAATCCACTCCTCATCAGTCATCTGGAAGAAGATCCTAGCTACAGGTCACCTCTTGACCTAACGGGGGCTCTGTGTGACCATTGCAGCTCTCATGTGTGACCTGAAGGTTCCCCGCTGGGACTTCCAGACGGGCAGACAGCTGCGCACCTCCCCGCTGTACGACCGCCTGGATGCCCAGGGGGCCAGGTGGATGGAGAAGCACGGCTTTGAGAGGGTCAAATACTTCGTCCCACCTGGGAAAGGTGAGATCGTGTTTTCCTCTGCCTGGTGCATCTGTCCCAGTCTGCATTTGCTGTTAATTTGTTCCATTTATGTGGAAAACCGTGGCTTTGTTTCTTCTTGACACGTTAGATCTGCTGGATTTGGATCAGAGCAAAACCTTCTACAAACCAGACTGGTTTGAGATCGTGGGTTCCGAAGTCAAGTGCTGCAAGGAGGCAGTGTGTGTGATCGACATGTCGTCCTTCACCAAGTTTGAGATAAGTGTGAGTAGTGCTGGAGTGACGGGGCACAGCCTGCCTGGGGCAGCCTGCTCTTTCCTGATGGTTCCTGAGGAGAGCTGGAGGGAGGGGGGCCAAATTCCCAACTGGAAGAATTTGGGCCGGAACGTTGATGCGCTCCTCAGCTGCCCCAGTGGATGAGTGTTGCTCACACAGCTTGTCTGACTCTCATCTCCCGTAGTCCACAGGAGACCAGGCGCTGCAGAGCCTGCAGTACCTCTTCTCCAACGACCTGGATGTGCCAGTGGGGCACGTTGTGCACACTGGCATGCTGAATGAGAACGGAGGCTATGAGAACGACTGCAGCATAGCGCGCTTGAGCAAACGCAGGTGGGTGCACATCTCCACCACCTGCATTGGTGGGAGTGCCTGTAGGAGCCTCTCAGCAAAGGCTGCAAACTCCACTCACGCTCCTCATAAGGAAACAGGAAGCCTCTGTGCTGCTGTAGTGCTGCACCCCACATGGGAGCGTGGCTTTAGTGGGGGAAATGGGCCCTTTTGGTGGCTGCAGGTCAGAGCAGATTTCAGCCACACGGTGGGGTTCAGGTGTTTGCTTTCTCCACTGACAGACACGTTTCTTTTCAGTCATCAGTTGATTGCTTACATGTTCAGACTAACAGCGTTTGCTTGTTGACTCCTGGGCAATCTTCTCACTGGGGTTCCCTGCTGAGATGGCTCCTTTGGGATTATTTCTGCTCGCATTGCTGTGTGGTTTCTCTCATTCTCAGCACAGTGCACTCTCATGTGGTTTTTTTTTTGCTCTCTGATGCAAACTGACATGATCACAGGATCCTTAGATGCAGCAACTTGAGCTCTCTTTGGCATTTAATTAAAAAAAACCAACCCCTTCCGATGGTTAAAAACTTTTTAATGGGTATGTCTCAGCTGAGCATTGGTTTTATTTCCCTGCACCACTTTCTGTGTGTGCTCTCATTGTGCTGATGTGAAAGCAGTCTTCTCTGCTGCTCTTCTAATTAGAAGCTGCTTTTTCCCTCTTCCTCTATTTGCATTCATGTATTGTTAGGACCGTTGTCTGCCTCTGCGTGAAACTGGTGGCTTTTCTCCTTGCTAACCACGTTTGCAGATATTATCTCTGTCAATAATGCACTCCAGCTCACAATCTGTATGGAAGAGACCAGCTTGTTTCCACATATCAAATAGAGTTCTGTGCACAGACCCTGTTAATAATAACCACCATTGTGTCAGGAGAGACTTGCTGAAACAAGAAGTGGCTTTGAGAGTGGAGCGCCCTTGTGCTGTCAGAGCACCCGCAATCACTGCTCTTCAAGAGCTGCAGAACTGTCTGCAAGATGACTGTGACTTTGGAGCTGCCACGTGGGCTTGCTGTAGAACTGCCTGCATTCTGTTTCTGGAGCTTCTGCTTCTGCCTTATCACCAGAGTGCTGCTGCTGCTTGCAGGCAAAGCTTTCCTGTTGTAACAGATGTGATGGTGTTGATCCATTAGTCATGGTGTTCCTAAGCCACCATACTGGGTCTTGTGTTATCTTGGGAGGTGCTGAGTGCCTCCAGTGGTTGTTGGGCATAGAATGAACTGAGTGATGTCATGGCTGTCGAGATTCATTGTTTCTTGGTTTTTTCTCCAGCTTCTTTATGATTTCCCCAACTGACCAACAAGTCCATTGCTGGGCCTGGCTGAAGAACCATTTGCCTGAAGATAGCAACTTGACCATAGAAGATGTGACCTGGAAGTACACGGGTAATGCACTTCTGAAAGCAGACCTTGTCGCACGGCCTGAAGTCACAGATGGTGCCTTGTGTTTGTTGTGGTGTCTGTGGAGCTGTGTCTCTTTTCCAAGCGGATGAAACCAGTCATCAGACTCTTCCTCCCAGCAAGCCGTGAGCTGGGAGACAGATTTCCTCTCCTGTGTGCTGCCAGGAGAGTCTAATGATGTCCCTATTCTTAAGTGATCTTTACAACCCTCCCCGGTGTGAACTACACAGCTTCCCAAAGGGAAATAAAAATAGGTGCATGCACGTGTGCAGCATGGATAGGACCTCGTCAGTCTGATCCTAATGATTCATCTTCCTCTCTTTAGCTCTCAACCTGATCGGCCCCCGTGCTGTGGATGTCTTGTCAGAGTTGTCCTATGCCCCAATGACCCCGGAACACTTTCCTTCTTTCTTCTGCAAGGTGAGTGACCGTGCTTCCTTCCTGCTCACCCCACTAGGTTTCCAGAAGCGTGTGTGCAAGAAGGGAAAGGCCTGTGCTTTCAGTAGTTAGGGGGGAATTTGGATTCACCTACAGTTATTGCAGTAGCTGTGCTATGCTGGTCATGTCCTCATTAGGCTCACTTTGCTACCTGCTTTATTTGGATTGTGCTTGCTGAATATATAGGTTAACACGAGTTTGTTGTCAGTCTCCCACTCTCTGTAGGCTTGGTGCCATGTGGTATCATGGCGTGTATCATGTAACCTGTTCCAAACCCATCAGCCAGGGGCAGCTGAGGTTGGTGGCTCTGGAGTCATTGTCACGTCCAAGGGCTGAGCAGCTAGCTGCTGTTAACTCCTCCAGAGTGTAAAGCATGAGCTGCTGTTCCCATCCAGTTCCAAGGCTTTCACAAAGAGATTCAGTAACCTGGATGATATTTGGATAGCTGCTGCCTGGATTCTTAGATTCAGTCCTTCAGAAGTGTGTGCTGGTGGCAGACGACTCGCCCCACGCGGTGCGCGTTGTGTGTTACTGTGTTCCTTCTGGATCTCTGTGCTGTGTTCCAGTTGGGATGTTTTCACCCCCTCTGATTCTGCAGGAGATGAGCGTGGGCTACGCTAATGGCATCCGAGTGATGAGTATCACTCACACAGGAGAGCCTGGATTCATGCTTTATATTCCCATCGAGGTAAGAACACACTGCAGCCTCAGCTAATTAAAACAGTTGCTTGCATGCATAATTAGCAATGGATTTTCCACGTTGACTCAGGGTAACAAAGAGTGGGAAAGGTGCCTGCAGGGCACAAGGGGAGATCCCTGCTTCGTCTAGCATCCCAGCAGCCAGCAAACACGGGTGGTGGTGTGTCAGCTGCTGCCCCTCTTTCCTGGTGCATGCCTGCAGCTCTGTGCTTCCCCCTTCCTTTGCAGTATGCCCTCCATGTGTACAACGAGGTGATGAACACGGGGCAGAAGTACGGCATCCGCAACGCCGGTTATTACGCGCTGCGCAGCCTGCGGATCGAGAAGTTTTTTGCCTTCTGGGGCCAGGATCTGGATGCCTTTACCACTCCTATGGAGTGTGGCCGTGAGTTCCAGGTCAAGCTGGAAAAGGTACGGTGGAGAACTGGAATTGTGGCAGGGCCCAGCAGTGCAGCGATGCCACCCAAGTGGGTAGATGGGTCATTTTTTGATGGAGCTGTAAGGGTGTGACTATGACCTGTGTTCTTAGGCCTTGTAAAGGTGCTAAAAAGATTAAAAAAAAAAAATGCCATCTTCCTCTTTCCTGGGCAGCATTCCTGGTGGTCTGGGTAGTATCCTGCGTAGCTCAGTGTAGTGAAGGGAGCTGCATACCTTCCAGCACTCGTGTTTCTCCCAGCTCCTTTCCCAGTCTGATGAAGCAGAAGCCAGCCCGTGCCCCACGTGGCTTGTCATGAAGCTGAAAGCGTGCCAGGATAGACACCAGGGACAGGAGCTCTCTATTTTTGCTGTAACATAAACCAGTGTGGAACTGTACCCCACTGTGCTGTGATAGAGACAGGTGCCATCCCTATCACTTGCTTGTTTTCATCTTTCTCACATCTTTGCATGAGCCAAAATAAATGCTTGTATCAGCTCAGGGAGCACACACTGATCATGGGTACAAATTTTGGATGGTTTCCTTCTGGTTTGTAAAATCATAGAATCATAGGATGGCCTGGGTTGCAAAGGAGCACAGTGCTCATTTCTTTTTAGCCCCCCTCCTATGTGCAGGTCACCAACCAGCAGCCCAAGCTGCCCACAGCCACATCCAGCCTGGCCTCGAATGCCTGCAGGGATGGGGCATCCACAGCCTCCTTGGGCAACCTGTTCCAGTGCCTCACCACCCTCTGGGTGAAAAACTTCCGCCTAACATCCAACCTAAACCTGCCCTGTCTCAGTTTAAAACACAGTGAAACTTCTGGGAGCAGAAAAATGACGGAAACTGGAGTTGTGAAATGCCTTTGGCTGAGGTGAAAACTCCAGGGCCCCTTTCATGACTGTTTTTGCATTTAATACCTTCAGCACCTGGACCAGGGGGGCGTGACAGCTTCTGTGTGAGCTGGGTGCAGAGCAGCCTGTTCTGATGGGGCGTAACTTCCAAGCCAAGCCGACCTCACCTTGGTAGTTTGTTAAAACTCAGCAGTGCCGCAGTTTCCCTTCCTTCCGTCAGCAGAGGCTTTCTTTTTTCCCCCAGGGGATGGAGTTTGTTGGCCAGGAAGCTCTGTTGGAGCAGAAGCAGAACGGGGTGTACAAACGCTTCACCATGTTCATTCTCGAGGACCACGACACAGATATGGACCTCTGGCCCTGGTGGGGCGAACCCATCTTCCGCAACGGCCGCTACGTGGGCAAAACCACCAGCAGTGCCTACAGCTACACTCTGGAGCGCCACGTCTGCCTTGGCTTCGTGCAGCACTTCGATGAGAAGACAGGGGAAGAGCTGGTGGTGACGACTGACTTCATCAACCAGGGCGAGTACGAGATCGACATCGCCGGGCAGCGCTTCCAGGCCAAAGCCAAACTCTACCCCTTCAGCTCCCTCTTTGCTCAGCGTCGCCGCAAGGATGAGGTGGAACTGAGTGGCTACCAGAGGGAGTAGTGCCGGCTGGAGCCCCACTCCTTTTTCCCAAGCTGGAGCCTTCAGCTGCCACCTTCCAGTGCTCTCTCCATACCTCCATACGTTTCTTTTCTTTTTTTCCTTTCCAGCCTTGCAACTTTTAAACTTTTTTCCAGCGTGTTCCATTTTGTATGTTTTAAAACTTTTAATTCTCCAGCTTTCTGAACCCTGTCCGTCTCCCTCCCTCAGCCCTTTGCTTGCCAGGCTCCCCCATGTCTCAAAGCACAGTGCTGAACGTGCACCCAGGTGCCCATGGGAGCGTTTCAGTGGGAAGCCTGTACAGGAGCAAACATCTCCATAGCCCTGCAGTGATGGGAAGGGCTCAGGGGAGCTCCTGAGGACTACAGCCTTTCTCTCTCCTGCAGTATAAGGCACAGGACAGCAGGTATTGGCTCTGCTCTGCTGTCACTTTGGCAGGTGACCACTTTGCAGAGGGGTCAGTGCGTGGATGCACACAGCCATAGAGCGACCAGCTACCTCACCAGCACAGCACACAGCATTGGGTGAGCAGGCAGGTGTTGGTGTGTCCCAGCCAGCCCCACCATTTTGCCTAGCAGGGAACCCAGTAGGTTTAACCATCACATCATGGAGATGATGCTGGTAAGTCTTTCATTGTCATTTGGGTTGGATTTTTTTTTTGTGGGGGGTCAGTGTTGGTCTTCAGTTGTATTTATAGGAATTCTACATGGGTAGATAATGCATATAATCTGCCTTTATGTATAGAATTGAAGACCAACGTATGTTTTAGTTCTGTAAGGGAGTGGGGTTGTTTTCTATTAGCAGAAATAGGGCAGGTGTTGGTGTTCCACGCTGCCAGCACTGTTGAAACACCACTTTGTTTCAGCCACACAGCGTGCAGTCCCTCTGTGAGCATTCTTTCACTTTCCCTCATTGACATGACTGTCTGGCAAGGTTCATGCAGAGAACACAAGTTTTCTTACCAACTCGTGTTTGGGGACATAAGGAAAGCAGGCGGCGCCAAGTTGTGTCACACAGGTTGACATCTTTCTCTTCTTCTGGTTGTGAGAGCGACCAGAAGCAAAGCTTTTCTTTATTTCCTGGAAGGAGGAGGTTGGCTGTGCCTCCTGGCCCTGGCACCCACCTATTCACTATGGCTTTCCTGCTCCCCTCCATGCCAACATCACCCTGGAGTTTAAGCTCAGCCTTGCACTGATGCAGCCTTGATGAACACTGTAATTTGGGGGCATTTTCCAGTGAAGTGGTGAACGTCACGAGTGTAAATATGAGCTCTAAGCCTTGGCAAGCTCCCGCTTTGTTTCCTGCTACTTCAGTTGTGCCTTCAGTTGAGCCTTTGGTCGGCCAGTTTGTGGTTGAGATGTTCTCAGTGTGAAGTTGGACAGAGCTGAGGCAACGAGGGTGGAAGGGAAAACCCTTTATGCCTTAAGAACAGAGCAAGTTCCCCATTCAGGCTGGTACGGAAGCTGCAGACATTACAAGTGGAACTTTGTGTTGACTCTCCAGTACCAGAAATAAAGTGAGAGCAGCCCTACGTCGCGCCGCTCGACGGAGGAGCGCTGTGCCAGGGTTGAGGCTCAGGGCTGGGCGGTTTGGCACTTGCTCCTGCCTTCCCTTCTGCAAGTTCTGGTTCTTCTTTTGGATCTGGAGCTGCGTTCTGTCCCTCGCTGTGGCCGTGCCTGACCTCCCATGCCTTGCTGGTCTTTGAGAGGCTGCTGAAGCAACCCGTGCTGGAGAAAGGACTTTGTTGTTGACATTTAGTGACCTGGGGATGAGAGGAAGCCAGCTGTTGAGAAGTGTTTTCTATTTCAGCAGGGTGTGCTGCGGTCATTTTCACATCTATCTTTGCCAGACTTCATTTCTTCCTCGTGTCTCTGTCTGGATTTGCTGCTCCTTGCTGCTGCAGTTCATCTTGCTGTTCTGTGGTGAGCAGGAGGGGCTGTGCAATGCCTGCCCTGCATCTCGGGGTCGTGTTTCAAGCCTGGCTTCCTCCTCCTGTTGCTGTGCCCACTCCCATCCCCTGGCACAGGGCTTCCTCGGGCTGGAGTCCTGTGCTTCCATGGGACCTCAGGCCGTGACTGATGGGGGTGAAAAGCAGGGACTGAAACTCTTACATTTGAGGAGGGGAAAAAAATTACGACAAACGACTGCCCTCCACTTTTGCAAAGGAAATCCGTTCCTTATGGGGCAGGATTCTTGTTTTAGAGCAGAACACGTGGCTGCTGGTAAAGCCCAGCAAAAAAACATCATCACCTTTGGATTCGTCTTCCCGACTGGTTTCATTGGGACATTTGGGCAGCTCGATTCTTGACCGTGTCAGCAAGTTGAAGGCTTTCAACTTCCTTAAGTGGCTGCCAGGGCTGGGGATGGCTTATTTTACCTCCCCGTTCCAGCGGGAAACAGGATGCGGGGGAGCAGGGAGCAGTGCCACCAGGCATACAGGAAGAGCAGGCAGCATTTCTCTTTGCACTTTAACCGCTCGGAGCCCTCAGCAGGAGCAGCCCTGTGTGTTTTGGGGCAGGAGAAGAGCCTGCAAGCATTGGCTCAGCTCCTCCTGGGCAGGGTGAGGCTCTGCAGGCAGGCAGCCCGTGCTCCCACCGCGTGTACCTGCAGGCTGTTGCTCAGAGCCCCTCTTGCTTCTTGCAGTCTCCCATTTTCAAGAGCTGCAATGACTTCCAAAAGGGTTCTGTGGCAGAAATGTTAGGAACGAGTGCAGCTCGAGGCTGTGAAAGCGTTCCTTAGTGCCTTACATGGTGGAAGGGGTGGAGGTGGGCAGAGCAGCTCACTGTGCCCGCGCGGGGTCTCTGCATGGGAGGATGCAGGCAGCTCCTTCAAGCTCAGAGGGGCTGAGGAGATGCAGCACTGCTCCTGCCTGGCCATGGGGGACACGGATTGTTCCCAAGCACACAAACAGGGCTGAGCTGGCTGCTCTCTGCTGGGGCTGTTCTGTATGCTGTATTTATTGCCGTGCTTTACGTCATTTCATATTTTGGTTGGCTTGAATGTTGCTAGGTTTGTATATTAATAAAGAAGTGTTTTAACTACTCCCGAATGGGGCGGTTTGTTGTGCTGGAGCCTTGTGTACCCCTCGAGATCCAAATTCTATGGCTTCCCTTCCCATGACAGCTCAGCTATGCGGATGCTCTTGCAAAGTGCCCCGGTCCTGGTGGGGATAGGACTGCTGGTGCATCCCTACCACTGCCTGTGCCCCACGGTGTCCTCGAATCAGGATGGAGGAACACAGAGCCGTCCAGATGCATGGTTTTTATTGACTTAAAAAAAACAAAAACCCAACCAAATTGTTTTAAGACAGTTGTGTGCAGAAGTCCCCACATCCGCACAGGCTGTGGGGGCGCCTCACCCCGCGATGGGGACTCCCCAAAACCTCGGTTTCTCCCCAAAACCAACCCCCCCTCCCCCCCTCCATCCCCCGATGCCCACAGCCTCTGCCTGCTGCTCCTCTATGTACAGTACAGTGGTGCTCGTAGCGCGGCGCCTGCGGGCCCTGCAGCATGCTTGTGCGTGCGCCCGCCGGCAGCTCTGCGCAGAAACAGGAGTGGTCGTGAGTCCTCGTGTCGGGACAGTTTAAATAATAATAATAACAACAACAATAATAATAAAAAGAGTCGGGGTGGGGGTCGAGGGGGGAAGGAAATCAGCCGAAAAATCGTTATCGGGTGCTGCCGGTGGGCTCGGGATTGTCTGACCTGGAGTGGGAGAGGTGTGGGCACAGCCCAGTGCCAGGGGTGCCTGGGCAATGCTGACCCTCCCAGGAGGAAGGGGGGGCTGGGAATGCTGCTGTGTGCATCCCGACCCCCCCTGTGCTCGCAGGGCAGCGCAGCCGGCGGCAGGTAGTCAAGGCACTCGTTGTTGCTTGTGGTTGTGTGATTTCTGTGGTTTTCTTCCCCCAGAAGAAGGCGGCAATGCCAACTCGAGGCATTGGGAAGGGGTTGGGGCTCCCGGTCGCACCGCCGCCTCGGGGGCTGCCGTGGGGCCCCCAGCAGCAGGCGCAGCACAGACCTGGTGTCTTGAGAGACTGTAGAGAGACACTTCAAAAAAGAAAACACTCCCAAAGCACAGAAATGTAGAGAGAAGCCAAATAGAAAAGGGCAGTTTGCCCCCAAGCCCTGCGCAATCGTCCCTCAGTCACTGCTGCAGCTTCCAGCACCTCAGCCCCACACCGAGCCACTGTCCCCCAACACCACGAGCTTTGGGTTTGCAGCTTCTGCCCAGAGCTGTCTGTCTGTAGCAAGAGGGAGATAAGAAGTGACTCCCCCAGCTGTGTTTCACTCACCTGCTAAAGCTATCCTAACCTGCTCCTGTCCCCAAGGCGAAGGGGAGCCCAGATGGTGAGGGATGGACGCACACAGCTGTGCCTTACTGCGCCGTCACTTCCACCAGGTGCTCGGGTTTCTCAGCTGCCTTTTGCCCATCTCCCTGCCCTCCCAAACCCCTCCTATCCCACTCCCCGACGCAACATGGGGGGCATCTGACCGAGAGGACCACGAGAGTCCGGACCCCTTCCCGAGAGCCACAGAGGGAGAAGCAAAGGGAGAGAAAACCTCCGACGGAAGGACAGAGCAGCGGCCGCTTTGTGTCCTGCTGTTGGAGAGCTGACCCGGCCTGCTGCTGATTGTCACCCTGCCCTCATCCCGGGCTCGAGCTCTCCCCAAAGTCGCCGGGTTTGGGGGCTTTTGTATGGTTGTTTTTCTGTTGTTGTTCTTGTTTTAAAAAGAGCAGCATTTGGTTTGACTGTAAGAGTTACGAGTCGGGCGCTCCCCAGGCCGGCTGGTCGCTGGCGGCATCTACAAATCCTCGCTCGGCTGAAGCGGGTTCCTTAATACTAACAACATCAAAGTCAAAACTCTCCAAACCACACAAAGTCTGCCGAGAGCTCAGAACCCCGTAGGCTGCCGGCACCTAACGGCAGCCGGGGCAGCTCTGGCAGTGCCAGGGTTAGGAGCTGGAGGACACGCGGCCGCCCGGCCCTCAGTTAATTGCCCCGGTAGACCTCAATCCTGCTGGTTTTGGCCAGCATGTCGATGATGTGTGCCTCGAAGTCGGCGTCGTGCACCCCGGTCTTGCGGAACTCGCCGGCGTAGCGGTTGTTCTCCCAGTAGTGGTGCCAATTGCCCCGGCTGTCGGCGCCGAACCCGAAGACGTTCACCTGTGGGGTGAGGGTTGGCATCGCGATCACCGCCAGCCCCTGTGTGATACGGGGCCGGGTGCTGCATCCCCACGCCGTCACCCACCTCATCGCAGACGTGGAGGGCAAAGAAAAGCACCAGCATGCCGGTGGAGGGGTAGCGCCCGTGGTGCTCCGTCCAGCGGTCGTGGATGTACTTGAAGAAGGCAGGGTTGTAGATCTGCACCTGAACCCAGGGTAAGGGATGGAGGGAGGGATGCTGAGCACTGCGTCTCCTTGGGGCCGCGTGCCTGGCAGCACCGGGAGAGGTGCGGGGTGAAGTGGGTGCTGAGGAGCACAGTGCTGCTCTCACCTTCTCCTTGTCCACACGCAGAAAAGGCTTCACGGGCGCGTAGGTGCTGGAGGAAGGAAGCAGAGGGGTGGGGTGGGTGGGCAATCACGGCTGGGGCTATGTTAACCCAGGGGTAGTGGAGATGGGGAGAAAGCCACCAAGCTACGGCCATGACTTCACCACTCCCGAAACAGCTCCCAGGGCAATGGCACCTCTGTGCATGGCCACCGGCTACTTACAACCTGATCTGGCCAGTGGAGAGGGCGCTGGCAATCCAGAGCAGGTCCAAGGTCTTAAAGGGCACCAGCACAAAACTGACGTTGGCAGGCAGGTTCTTGGCGCTCTCAGGGTACATGAAGTGGTGAGTGGTCCGGCTGCCCACGTCCCCCTCAAAGCCCACTGTGGGTGCCTGGTTCATCCTGGGGACAGAGAACCATAGAATGGCCTGGGTTGCAAAGGACTACAATGCTCATCCAGTTCCAACCCCCTGCTGTGTGCAGGGTTACCAACCAGGCTGCCCAGAGCCACATCCAGCCTGGCCTTGAATGCCTGCAGGGATGGGGCATCCACAGCCTCCTTGGGCAGCCTGTTCCAGTGCCTCACCACCCTCTGGCAGAGCTGGGCACTGGCACACGAAGGGGACACACAGCCCCCCCGGCCAGGCGCCGATGCACTGCTTGTGCCCTCACCTCATGATGAAGTCGTGCCCATCGATCTCGTGCCCATAGCCGGAGCCACGCAGGTTGCCCGAGTTGCCGACCACAGCGCAGCGCCGGCAGCGGCGCGGGTCGCGCCAGCGGTAAGGGTTCTCCCCTGGCACGACCTGGAAGAGCTTGCTCAGCACCTCCTGCGTGTTGTGGGACTTGAACTGGGGCTGCAGCATCTGCAGGGTGAGAAGGAGGCGGTGGGGGACCTCGTTGCGTGCACAGCAACGGCAGCCGCCCCAGAACAGCCTGCAGCGTAGGGTCCTGGGGGTTAGGAGGGCGAACCCAGAAGCAAGCTGGGCTCAGCGGGGCCGCGGCGCGACGGAGATCCCGCAGCATCCCCCATCGCTCACCATCCACCACCGCTGCACATCCGGCGGCAGCTCCATGTTCTCCTTGGTCCACACTGGGGACACGGCGCCGTCGTAGCGGCTGTCAAACCAGGCGGCGGCGGAGGCGGCAGCATCCTCGGGGCAGCGGCGGCACGCACAGCCCTTGGGGTACGGCACGCCGTGGCTCAGCCGCCGCACGCCGGCGTAACCGGGCACCAGCTTCACCCGGTGGATGCCACCCAACCCGCCGGGGTCCAGGTAGGCGATGCTGTGGTGGGAGTAGGTGAATAGCACCGACATGACGAAGATGAGGAGGAAAGCGGTGGAGAGGAAGCAGACGCGCAGCGAGCACTTCATGGTGGGCGGGCAGGCAGGCTCGGCGCCGCTCCCCGGGCATAAGGCTGGGGCGCGGGGTGGGCGCGGGGCTCCCTGTGGGGCGCAGAGCCTCCGCTCAGCACGGTGCGGCGTGCAGCCCCCCGGGATGCTGTGCTGACCGGGAGGTTTGGCACCGCCACGGGGTGGGTTGGAGCGTCCCTACCTGCCGGGCTGCAGCTTTCCATCCGCCTGGCTCGGCGCGGCTTGGCACGCCAGGCTCAGCCGTAGCTCCGCGTGCCGGTGGCCCCGTGGGCTCGGGGAGCCGTCCCCTGCTGGTTCCAGGTTGCGGTGACACTCATCATCCTGTGCTGGGGACACGTGAGTGACAACAGCCTAGAGCAGAAGGGAGGGGACGTCGGTTAAGGGACAGCAAAAGCAAAGAGGATCCTGCCCCCAAAAACCCCATCACCCCTTGGGCCGCTCCCCACAAAAACTTTCAAGGGCAACAAGTGCCCTGCACTCGGCACCTCTGGAAAACTGGGAGGGTGCTGGTGGTATCCTGCTCCAATGAGTCACCGACCGTCACACGGCAAGAGGAAGGAAACCAGAACACGAGGCACGTCCTGCCTGCCCTGCCTGCTGCCAGCAGTTCCCCAGTTGGAGCTGCGGGGGGTCAGTGCGCCTGCATGGCGAGGGCACGTGTCCTCACAAAGGTGCTTGCAATGGTTTGGGGTCAGGAGAGACCGGCCAGCCCCAAACCCCGCACGGAGGGGACACCCATAGACACACAGCTCCATCCAGCCTGGGTTCTCAGCACCTCCAGGTGCTCATCAGCTCCCTCAGAAGAGGGTCAAGGTTGGGTCAGGCTCCACCAAGCCACCAAGTTGGTGCCATGGTGCTGGCTCCCACTGATTCACCGGGTCAGGTCTCACCAGGTTGAGTCCCAGTGACCCACCAGGTCAGGTCCTACAAGCTCAGGTCCTGCCAAGCCACCAAGTTGGATAGCATAGGGCTGGGTCCCACGAAGTAACGTGATCAGGTCCCACTAAGTGAAGTCCCTCCAAGCCGCTGGGTTGGGTCCCATTGGGTTGGATTCTATCAGTTTGGGCCCCCCAAGGTGCCATGGGGTTGAGTCCAACCAAGTAACTAGATCAGGTCCCACCAGGTTGGGTCCCACCAGCTTTGGTCCTACCAGCTCAGGTCTTATAAGGTCAAGTTCCACCAAGCCACCAAATTGGGTACCACGGGGTTGGGTTCTATCAAGTCACCAGGTCAAGTCCCACCGAGCCATCAGCTCAGGTCCCACCAGGTTGAGTCCTACCACTTTTTGGCCTCACCAAGCCACCAGCTTGGATACCAGCAGGCAGGGGCCCACCAAACCACATTCCTGCAGCCAAGCCTGGAAAAATCAGCAACCGCTCAGAGCTGGGGCTCAGCACCTCCATCTCCTCCTTCCCTCCATCTCCTCCTGGCCGCCTTTCCGTCTCACCCTCCCAGGCTGCCATCCCCGTGCCCAGCTCCCCAGTGGCAAGCCTGCTCCTGTTCCATCCACACCGGATGCCTCACTGGGAAAATATGTGCAGGAGCACCAAGATGGGCACGGCAGCAGCCAGCCTGGGGGAGCGCAGTGGGGGTGGAGGTGCACACGGGGAGCAAAGCTGGCATCGCTGGGGAGGAGAGGGCTTTCTCTATGGTGAAGAAACGGATCCGGGCCCTATTTTCCATGGGGTTTCCGGCCGCCCCGTCGGCCTCGCTGCTCGGCACTGAGGCTGGGAGCCTCCTCCAGACAGGCAGGAATTCGGGCTGTCGGAGAGCTCCTGGCCCGCGCCGCCAACATTCCGCTCCCAGCAGCCGGGCGGGCCGCCCTGCCGCCTTCCCAGCGCGATACGTGCAGAACGGCCCCGTCCAACGCTGCCACCGCCGACCCCATTTTGGGCTGTTCGGCCGCTCCGGGAGCGCTCGCATGCTGTTAATTAGCTGGATTAGCGCTGTGAGCTCAGCTCCTCGCTGGGGCCACCCGGAGCAATGCCGTCCTGGCAGCGCGCGCTGCTTTCTGAGCAGCTTTGGGGGTTGCTCTGAAACCCCATTCCCACGTCAGCCAACCCAGTGCGAAAAACAGAGTTTCCTGTCTATGTATCCCAGCGTACACACGTCCCCTGGCTGGGGTCACCCAGAAAGGCCGGGCCCCGCACTCCAGGACCACCGCTCGCCCCGTGGCTTGCAGACCGAAAGGGCACCGCAGGTGACACCGCCGACCCCGTGACGCCGCTCCATGCCCACACCCCCCCCCCGTCCCACCACCCCAACGGGGGACACAGCGCACCGCCGCCCCCACATTCCCCCGCTGCCCCAAACCCACGCACCCTAAGGGCTCCTTTGGGGCACCCCCATCCCGCACCCCCGGGGCTCGCTGTGCACCCACGCGCCCATCCCCGGTACCACCGCATCCTCCCGGCGCCCATCGTCCCCCCGATCTCCCGCACCCCGCACCCGACACCCCCTCCCCCTTCTCCCCCCCTCGGGGCCGTACCCGCCGCCTCCACCGCACCTCGCTCCGCTCCGGCCCGGCCCCACCACCGGGAGCCTCCGGGCCACTCCGCCGCCGCCGCCGCCGCCCCCCGCACCGCGCCGCGCCCTCCGCTCCGCTCCGCGCCGTGCGGGGCCGGGCCGTGCCGCGCCGTGCGGGGGGGGGTGGGCTCGGCAGGCTGGGAGATGTAGTCCGTGCGGGGTTGTGGGACTTGTAGGAGGAGAGCGGGGCCGCCGCGGGGGCAGCACGGCGGGGCCGGGTGCCCATCCCTGTGCCTTTCTCGCTCCACGGCCCCGTGCCCACCCCGGTGCCCATCCCGGTGCCCATCCCGGTACCCGTCCCGGTGCCCGCGGTACCCATGGGATGGTACCCATCCCGGAGGCTATCCTGCTGTTTATCTCCACGCCCATGCCCGTACCCACCATCGTGCCCAGCGCCGTGCCCATCCCAGTGCCCAGCCCCATACCTACTCTGGTACCCATGTCCACATCCATCCCAGTGCTCAGCTCTGTGACCGCCCCGATGCCCACATCGATGCCCGTCCCTGTACCCATCCCCACGCCCACCCCGCTGCCTTGCCTCGTGCCCATCCCCACACTCAGCCCCCTACCCATCCCGGTGCCCCGCTGCCTCCCCTCCCGCGCAGGCACAGGGCAGCCCCCGGAGCCAATCCCGGCAGGCACAGCCGCACTGCGGGGTGTCTCAGAGCCACGCGGCGGCAGAACCCCCCCCCCCCCCCCAGCCCCGAGCCCCGCTCGTGGCCGCGCACGGAAACGGGACGCTGCGCCTTTAAGGCGCCCTGCCGCGGTGCACGCCGGGAGCTGTAGTCCAGAGCCCCGCTCTTCGAGTCGGCGGGCAGCGCGGCGGCGCACTACAACTCCCATCAGCCCCCGCGGCACGGCCATCATGGCGGCCGGCGTCGAGTGGACCGCGATCGTCCTCACCTGCCGGCGGGGCGGCGGCGTGGCGGCCCTTCAGCGAGGCAGGCGGCGGGGCCGGGCGAGGGAGAGCGGGGTCGGGCGAGCCCGGCCTTCGAGACGCCCTTCTCCTTCGCAGAGCTGGAGCTGCGGCGGCGGCGGGGGGCCCTGGGCCGGCGGCCCGTCCTCGTCCTGGCGCTGGAGGATCCGTGGGCGGGTGTGGGGAGCGGCGGGGCCACGCTGAACGCCGTGCTGGTGGCGGCCGAGCACCTGAGCGCCCGCGCGGGATGCACGGTGAGGGCCGGGGACGGCGGCTCAACCCCCGCCCGCCGCCCCCCGGCCCCGCTGAGCGCCGTGTCCCGCAGGTGGTGAGCGCCGACGCGCTGAAGGAGGCCCGCATCCTCATCCTGCACACGGTGCGGGCCGCGCGGCCGAGCCCCCCGACCTGAGACCGGCCCCGCGACCGGCGCCGCCTCACCCCGCCCGTCCCCGCAGGGCCGCGAGTTCTCCTTCGACGACTGCGGCCGCGCCTTCACCTGCCTGCCCGCCGAGCGGCACCGCGCCGCGGCCGAAGCGCCGGTGTGCAACCTGGACAGCCTGCTGGGCACCGTCACGCGGCGGGTGGGCAAGCGGCCGGACCCCCGGCACTGACAGCGTGTGGCTGAGCGCCAGCCCCGTCCTCACGGCCCTTCCTTCCCCAGCTCTGCGTGGGCTCCCCGCCGGGCGTGTGGGTCTGCAGCACCGACATGCTGCTCGGTGTGCCCTCCGTGCCAGGTGAGGGCTGCGTCCTGCAGGGCTGGCAGCAGCGCAGCCGGTTCAGCCTTGGCCACGTCCCCATGGTGTGGCTGTGGGTGTTGTTGAGCGGGCTTCATAGCCACCCGCTGGGAGCTGGGAAGGCAGGGGGATGCCTGGTGTATGTAGTTTCATAGAATCACAGAATGGCCTGAGTTGCAAAGGACTGCAGTGATCATCCAGTTCCAACCCCCTGCTGTGTGCAGGTCACCAACCAGCAGCCCAGGCTGCCCAGAGCCACATCCAGCCTGGCCTTGAATGTCTGCAGGGATGGGGCATCCACAGCCTCCTTGGGCAACCTGTTCCGGTGGCCCAGGCTGAGTGCTGCTGCTGCAGCGCGTGGAGCTCAGGGCACTGATCTCTGTCCCTATCTCCAGAGATTGACTGGGAAGGCTTCCAAGGGGTCCGGGTGATTGCAGTGCCTGGCAGCCAGGCGTACGCGAGGAACCACGGGGTGTACCTTGTTGATGAGCAGGTCGGTAACAGCTCCCACATCCAAGCAGTGACACCAGCCTGGAGCCCCCTTTGGATGAGCAGGGGATTTGCAGTCAGTTGGACTCGCAGTCCTTGTACTGTCCGTGAGGTCCCTGCCCCTATGGTCCTGCGGATGCATGGGTCCTGTCCCTGCTGTGGCTGCTTGGCTTGGGGCAGCCCGAAGAGCTCATTGGCATCTTCTTGCTCCCAGGGCCTGGTACGTGACATCATCTACAAAGGCACAGAAGCTCAGATCCAGCAGTGCGCAGGGCCCGACGGCACCGTCCCACTGGTATGTCACTACCCACAGCTCTGCTGGCTCCATCCCTTCTGTCACCGTGGCTGGGACTGCTCACCCCACTGGGGGATGGGACACCACAGCCTCAGCCCTGCTGTGCCCTCGCAGGTCTGTGGGGTGGTTTTCTTCTCCTCAAGCGCCGCTGAGCAGCTTCTAGCCACCCATGTCATCCCTCCCTTGGATGCCTGCACCTACATGGGGCTGGACTCGGGGGCACCACCCATCCAGGTGACACCCCCCTAGGGTGCTGGGACCCCTCATCCTGTGGGTGCTGGTGATGGGTGCGCCTCTTTGTCCCTGTGCCGTCAGATTTGGGTGCAGGAGGGCAGCACCCAGCAGTGGAGTGGGACTTGGGGTGGCTGCTCCAGGTGGCCCGGCAGCACCCAGGTTGTCCCTTCTGTCCTCAGCTCTCCCTTTTCTTCGACATTGTGCTGAGCATGGCGGGGGGGATGACGGAGGAGGATTTTGTGAAGGGTGGTGGTGATGCCAGCGTGAGGAGAGCCCGCTCCGTGCTCTGGACAGCTCTCCATGCCTTCCCTCTGAGCATGGGTGAGCAATGCTGTGATGGGCACCTGCATGTGACCTGTCCCTGGTTTTCAGCTCCCTCTGTGGGGAGAAATGTGGGGTCATGGTCCCCAGCTGCCTCTCAGGGAAGCAAGGAGGGGTGCTGGGGAGGCTGGGAGCATCTCCTCGCCCTGAGACTGTGGTCAGTGCTGACTGCTTTCCTGCCTCCCCACAGCCTGCATTCCCGATGCCTCCTATGACTACTTGACCACGGCTGCAAGCGACCACATCCGTAGCCTGACACTCTTGCCCAGCTCCACCAGCCATCTTCGCTTCTGCAAAACAGCCCATTCCCATGTGGACGTAGGTCTCTCCAGCCCCAGATTTGCTCACATGTTTTTTTTGGGGGGTTACTCCATGTGCCCATCCCCCCGGCAGCAACCCTTGCTCCTGGAGGATGGCTCCTCGGTCACCAACTGCCTGCTGGAAGGAGCCGTTCGGCTGGCGGCCGGCAGCGTCATCCAGCACTGTCACCTCCAGGTGTGTGGACCTGAAGGAGTCTGGTGTCACTGCTGTGACATTTGGGACACAATTGCCCTTCGGATGGAGCTAGGGACACTGCTGGCTGTCACCTTCCCCGCTGTCAGTGCTGGGATGTCCCTTCCTGGAGACTTTTGCTGGCCACAGAATGTCTCCTGGCCTGGCTCTGATGTGGGGCTGGCCGTGCCACTCAGGATCCCACTGCTTCCTCTGCAGGGCCCCCTGGAGATCGGTCCTGGCTGCCTCCTCACGGGCCTCACCGTAGGCTCCTCATCAGCGCTGCAGGGCCGTCCCCTGCGTGATGTGGTGCTGCAGGGCCACCATGTCCGTCTGCGTGAGCTGCCCTGCCGCGTCTTCACGCTCACCGGCCGCCTCGACGACTGGCAGGTGCAGGGGGCAGCAAGGCGGCACGGGGCTCTGCAAAGCTGGGGTGTAACCGCCTCCCACGTGTCCCCACAGAGTCCTGCTGAAGAGGCCACCTACTTGAACGTCCCCTGGGCGGAGTTTTTTCATCGGACGGGCATCCGGTGGGTACCAACCTGCCTGAATGGAACAGGGGACATGGCTCCGTTGGGGTACCCATACCACCCCAGACCTCAGAGTCTGCAGTGAGAGCCACGGTGGCCACCCTTCCCTTCCTGCATCCCTCCTTCCCTCGGTCCTTGGGGTGGTGCTGATGGGCTCTCCCTCCACCAGCAAAGGGGACCTCTGGGATGCTGAGACACCGCAGGAAGACCGCTGCCTGCTGAGCGCCCGGCTCTTCCCAGTGCTGCACGCTTCCGAGGCGCTGGGGCTGGAGGATGTGCTGTGGCTGCTGGCCCCGGCAGCGTCGGGCGACCGGCTGGCACGTTGGCGAGCAGCCTGGCGCATGTCGTGGCAGGAGCTGCTGCCCTGCCTGGACAAGGCAGCTGAGCTGGGTGCTCGCCGGGACCTCTTCTTCCTGCAGGGCCAGCGCAAGGTGCGCCGCGTGCTGCTGGGCCGCCAGGACGGCAGCCTCCTGCCGCTCATCCGTAGTGCTGTCTATGAGGGTTACCACAAGGCCTTGCTGAGCACTCTGGATGAGGGTAAGCTGGACCAGTCTTACATCTCTGGGCTTTTTCGTGCTTGCTGTCCCCTTCAGTAGCCCTGAAATTGTCAAGAACTCGAGACCATCCAGGGCAGATGCAGGTTTACGCATGTCCCTCTCCCCTGGAGCCAACTTCTTGCAGAAGCGGGCTGCTTCAGGCCACTCACAGCCTTCCCTTAATTTTCTAGTTGCCTCTACAGCTGATGACGCAGGCATCGCAGCCCGGGCACTCGCCTGCATTGCTGATGTCCTGGGCTGCATGGCACATGGGGAAGGGGGCTTGCGGAGCGGACCTGCTGCCAACAGGGAGTGGGCTTCAGCTTTTGGGCACCTGGAGAGTGGGGACATTGCTGGCGGGGTGCGGGAGCTGGCAACCGAGCGGCAGAAGTGGATGAGCAGGTGAGGCACGGAGCAGCAAACTGCTGCTTTCCATGCTGACCCAGGGGGCCACGGCAGCGGGCTCAGCATCCCTCTTTTTGCAGTCCAGCCTTGCTGGTGAGAGCAGCTCGGCACTACGAAGGGGCCGAGCAGATCCTCATCCGGCAGGCGGTGATGTCCTCGTGCCAGTTTGTCACTGTGTGCCCGGCGGAGCTGCCACCCCTGGGGCACTGGGTGCAGGTGGCGTGTCCAGCCCGCCTGGACCTCTCTGGTGAGCTTTTCCATCCCAAGGTGGGCTCAGAGCTGGTGGGATGGACGGGGACGGATGATGACGGCTGGAGCGCTGTCTTGCCCCTATGGAGAAATGAGCCAGAGGGCTGATGGTGTGTCTTGGCAGGGGGCTGGAGCGACACTCCTCCCATCACATATGAGCATGGTGGGGCTGTGGTGGACGTGGCAGTGCTGGTGGATGGGTGCCGACCCATTGGTGCCCGGGTGCGGCGCATCGGTGAGCCGGAGCTGCGCTTGGCCAGCCTCGGTGGGGTACCGTGGGGTGAGGCGGCGGTGGAGCTGGTGTGCCATGAGCTGGGGCAGTTGGAGAACTACTGCCAGCCACATGCGCCAGGTGAGGGGTCAGTGGCTGCACAGCCTGGCTTTGCGCCCTTGGTGTCCTGACCTTGTGGTGGGTGCTAGATCTGTGCCACCTCTGGAGCGATCCGCTCTGATCCTCGCTGCTGGGTGATGGAATAGGCAGTGCAGCAGGCACAGCTGTGCTTTTTCTTTCTGTTTCTAGGAGCCTTGCTCAAAGCTGCCTTCATATGCACGCAGATCGTGCAGTTCCCTTCGCAGAAGCCCTTGAGGGATCAGCTGATGGAGAACTTTGGGGGTGGCTTTGAGGTGCACACCTGGTCCAGGCTGCCCCACGGGTCTGGCCTCGGTCTGTTTGCGGGGAAGGGGCTGGGATATCTGTCCTTCCCCAAGCACCGAGATGCAGCATCCCCATCGCTGCCCTGACCCTGTGCTCCCTGCAGGCACCAGCAGCATCCTAGCGGGAGCAGTGATGGCAGCGCTGTACCGGGCAGCTGGGAAGGTTGCTGGCACCGAGTCCCTCATCCACGCCGTGCTGCATCTGGAGCAGAGGCTCACGACAGGTAGCAGCTGGAGAAAGCAGCTGTCATGGGGCGGGGGGGTCTGGGCTCCAGCTGAGGATCCTGTGCGCTGCAGGTGGCGGGTGGCAGGACCAGGTGGGTGGGCTGGTGCCTGGCATCAAGATCGGGAGGTCGGAGGCCCGGCTGCCACTCAGGGTGGAGGTGGAGGAGATCCTGGTGCCTGAAGGCTTTGCCCGGATCCTCAGCGATCACTTGCTGCTCGTGTACACGGGGAAGACTCGCCTGGCTCGCAACCTGCTCCAGGTAACACAGGGGCTCTGGCTCTGCTCCCCCTCAGTGCACGTCCCCTTGGGGAGAGGCTGTGCCACTCAAGCCAGCAGGGTGGTGATGGGGACACTTGTGGGCCAAGGTGCTCGTCTCCAACAACCTGGCCTCTTGCAGGACGTGGTGAGGAACTGGTATGCCAGGCTGCCCTCCATTGTACAAAATGCCGACGCTCTGGTGAATAATGCTGAGGAGTGTGCCTGGGCCTTGAGGCAAGGTGTGAGCTCCCCTCCCTGCGCCAGGCTGTCCCTTCTAACAACTGAAGCAGCAAAATATCCCCCAGAGAGTCTATGGGGACAAAAGCTAGGGCAGTGCAGGGTCCAACAGCTGAAGCAACCTTAGGCTTACCTGCATTTTATAGGCAACACCCCCAAATTGAGGCTTAAACTAAGATCTTGAGAGGGGGGGGACTGGAAGAGGCTCCTGTGGGGCACACTGAGTGTGATTTTCTTGAGTCATCAGTAATGGGAGTGGGGGTCACAGCTAGCCTATGAAGTGGATTCATTTGGATTTTGTCTGCTGGAATGCAGAGGAGGGGAAGCTGGAGCATGAAAGCAAGCAAATTCTCACCCTGTGGAGGATTAAAAATGAAAAGCAAAGCAACAGCGGGGATGGCTTGCTCAGCAGGCAGAGGATTGGGGTAGATGAGAAGGCAGAAGTGAGCTCAGGCTGAGCAGGTTTCTGCCCTTTAGGAGGACTGGAGACAAATCTTTTCTTCTCTGTCACATCCTCTGTCCTGTAGGAAACCTGCCACTCATTGGCAAGTGTCTGGACGTCTACTGGCAGCAGAAGAAATGCATGGCCCCTGGGTGTGAGCCGCTGGCCGTCGGGCGCATGATGGATGCTCTGCAGCCTTATGTCTACGGGCAGTGCTTGGCTGGGGCTGGTGGTGGTGGTTTCCTTTACGTCTTAACCAAAGTCCCTCAGCAAAAAGAGGCTTTGCACCAAATTCTAGCAAAAACAGAGGTGAGATCTGTGCCTCCAGCTGTTACATTGGCCAAAAGCTGCTCGCAAAGCCCAGCATTGCAGGTGGTTTGCAGAAGCCTGATTCATGCACTAGAAGCATCCCTCCCCCCCAGCCACAAGTAGGACAAGCCTGTTTAGTGTGTGTGTGTGAGAGAGAGAGTCCCTTGCTGACTACTGCCCCATTAACTCCTTTTTTACAGGGCCTGGACAACTTCAGCATTCACAGCATTGAAGTGGACACAGGAGGTTTCTCCATGGAAGTGGTGGGATGTGATCCTAACAGCAGCGCTCACCCTGGAGAGGACATGGCCATGTGAAGGCCTTCAGCCATTGCTGGGGGACATCTGGGACAGAGGATATGGCTGCCACGCAAATCAGGAAGATCCCCATGTCTCAGCTCCCTGCTGCTGCAGCCAGGGCTGCTCATGGATTCTCCTTGCTGGGTGCCTCAGCCCCGTGACACACTCGGTCCAGTGCTGCAGAACACAGCCAGGTCCCAGCAGAGCTGGGGATGCCACTCATGGAGCCTGGCAGCTGGCTCCAGCAGGTGCCTTATGTTTTGATGTGGCCTTTACGTGCTGTTGCTGGGCCCAAAACTCACACAGACTGGAGCTGGGCAGGCCCAAGGATGTACTGGAAGGACAGGCTGCTAGGGTCACAGCTGGCCTCCAGGCAGAGCTGTGTTCTCATGGTCCTGTGAAGGGAAAGGAATAGCATTTGTGATGCTGCTAAGCCTTTCTCCTCTTCCAATAGCAGTGGCCCGTGCTGCCCTTCAGCGTGCAATGCTCCATCCCTGGATGTGGAATCACCTCCCCCTCCTGTGCTGAGAGGTTATTTCTGCAGCGAGTTACCAGGCCCTGCGGGCTCTTTGAATAAAAGAGCTTGTTCCCAGCATGCCTTCGTTCTCTGTCCCACTTCTCCTTCCCTGTGAGCCTCCCAGGGGAGGTAAGGCAGGACACGCAGAGCTCTGTGGTTTCCCAGTGTCACAGTGCTACCGCTGGATGCATCCCAGCCTCGAGTTGGCACCAGGTACTGGCACATGGGTGTTTATGCTGTGCTGCTGCCAGCAAGAAGAGCATCTTGCTGCCATGGCGCAGTTCAGAAGAGATGATGACACAGTGAACAGCTCATCTCCCATTGCTCCAGCTCCCTCCAGGCATGCACACGCAGCCCAAGGTCGCTGCTCAGCCAGGCGCAGTTTATTTATAGTGTATCTGTACAGAGCCAGCAGGGCCGTGACCCTCCTTCCTCGAGAGGCCTGCTGGTGATTTTCCAAGCACCCTGCCCCCACCACCATTCCTGCCTCGCAGCAGGCTGCTTCTGCTACTGCACAGTCCCCACCACCACCAGGGAGAGAGCTGACCCACAAACGAGCAGAACAGAAGGAATGTGGCTGCAGCCTCCCTGCAGAAAGCAGGGCAAACGCCACCACGGGGGCACAGGCAGAGCAATCTGTACAGATCCGTAATGAAAACATTCCACAGCAACCCTGAATTTCCTGGATCTTCTGTGGTCTCACACAGGGAAGCAGAATGAAAGGAGCAATGCACTAGCACATCCCTGTCCATTCACCTATCACGTGTCATACTGCTCTCAGTGTGAGAGAGTCCTCTGCTGCCTTATTTCTGGTCCCTCAGAAGGACAGAGGCTCTTCTTCCCCTGCCCTGGAAGGCCATCACCCCAAACTCATAAGATCCAACAGCCAGCTATAGCCCCAGGGGGGATTTAGGCCAGCACCAGGGCTGCAGTGTTCCTGCTGTTACCTCCTTCAGGGTGCTCGTGTGCAGAGAACTACAGGCGCAGCCTCTTGATGTCCTCATCACGGAAATCCTTTCGGAGAGCCAACACCCGCCGGACCTCTGCAGGAGTGAGGCGCCAGGTGAGCGGGCCCGAGTTGGGGCCCCAGTAATCCAGGATCTCTGTCACCTGCAGGAAACAGCACCAGCTGCCTTCAGGGTGAGCTCAAACTTTGGCTGTGGTGACAGATGTGTCAGGGACAGGCAGGATTTCCTGCTCAGAAACACCCAGCAGGTATGGGGCAGTGTAACAGAAATGCTGTGACAGTTTGAACCAGTGATGGAGCACCTGGTGGGAAGGCAGGGCCAACCCAGGGAAGCTCAGGTGCAAGCAATATACCTGAGTGACTGAAAGGGGGTGGAGTCAGGATCCACCCTCTCCCAGATCTTATTTAAGGGTTGGCAGTGGAGACAAAGGTATCTCGCTACCTAGCTGAGGCTTTCTAAAGGTAAGCAGCTTTTTTCCTTTGTTTCTGTATCCAGTGCACTTCTGTACCTGGGCATATCCTTACTTGTTGCACCCTGGGACTCTGCTACCCTGCTGTCATTGCTGTGTTTTCCATCACGTTAGAGCATTACGGGCAGGTTTTCCAGTTTCTCTCTGCTCCACATCTGTAATATCACCTGGCTGAGCCCAGTAACTCCAAAAGCACGTGCAGCTTACCCTTTCCAGATTGAGGATGGTAGCTATTTGGGAAAGACGTGCAAACTTGTCGCGGATGGTCCAGGTGGTGACCGTGGTGAGGTAGGCTATGAGAGACCTCAGCTCCTTGTCAAACTGCAGACCACCAAGCTGCAAGGACCAAGGAAGCACTGTTAGCTTCCCAATATGCTTTACTCCTGCGTGCACAAATGCAAGATCTCCCTGAGCTGGTCGGTGGCAGCAGCAGAGCTTTCTTGAAGGTAGCATCTTCCTCTGCTCTGCCTCATTCCTTGGAGGTTAACAAGGATTTTATGGAGTAGCCACAGCCAACCATGCTATGGAGAAGGGAGCAGTGTTTCACTCACCCTGTTAAAGCTGGATTTGAGGAGCACTTTCTCCAGTTCCGTGGCTATGAGGCTGGTCATGAGGCCAGTAAGGTTATCATAAATTGCTGGTGACAGTCCAGCCTAGAAGCAGAAAGCTGTGTCACTCTCAGCAGCAGCAGACCATGTAACCCCAGCCTAAGACAACTTTCCCATTAAAAACCACTCTTATTTACACTCTCAGTGAGTGGACATCACCAGCAAAAGCAACCCAGGGATGCAGGGCCTACAAACAGCCTCTGAATGCCATAGAAGTCTCTAAGAGCCCTGCAAGCGATCTGAGGACATCTGTCCTCTGTTCCACTGAGCAGGCAAGGGTTGGAAGGTGCCTGACTAAGGTCTGGCTCAAGCCTGGCAGGCTGCCACATCCCTTCCCTTCCTCTCACCTTGAACTCTGTCATCTGCTGTTCCAGGTGGACAATGAACTGCTGGACCCAGGGATCATTAGCTTCATAGTCACTGAATTCTTCCTGACATTGAAAAAGGAAAAAAAGGTAGTTCACATGGCATGCTGTAAAGAAGGAAGAGAGGGAAGAATGTCCCTTCCAGAGCAAACTACATTCCTTTTGTTTCCTCAAATTCCTCTCAAGCTAAATACTCTTTTCCAGGCTGGGACACTGATCATCTTTTGCCTATTTCAGTGTGATGTTCCCTGTGATGAGAAAGCAGCAGAGAACTGAGAGGAATGAGAGCATACAAGTACAGCTAGAAGCAGACAACCATGAGCCTTACCTCCTCAATGCTGTGGGAGATGGAGAGGAATAGGTTGATCCATGGCTTCACCTGGGGTTTGATGGCTGTGTTGTTCAGGTCATTGACACCTTCCTGAGGGGGACAAGAAGGGGACAGGAGGGCAGTTGAGCACGGTTAAGTCCAACAATACATAACCTCTACAGCACAGCTGCTTTGTTGCTGCTTTCATCCTCCTGCGAGGTGGAGAAACTGACCCACAGCCTTCCATAGTGAAACTAAACCAAGAAATCCTAGAGCTGGACCCAGGCCCTTCTGGTGCCAAATGGTTACACGGACACCACAGTGATAAGAAAGGGAAGGACAACGGCCCAGAAGCTGGCACTGTGCTGACACGCAGCCTGCTCTGAAAGCTTGTGCTGCCTCAGCCCTGCCCACACTGCTACAGAAGTGTCCTGAGGGGAGAGGTGTTCAGTTCCCATCCCACCAGGGCAGGGGAGGAGGCAAACACCAGCTCTTCACGCAGTTCCAGCCTGGAGGACACTGCAGTCGGACTCAACTGCTGCTTCCCACCTACAGCGCAGCTTAGCTCAGTAGGAGAAGCTAAAAGGAGGATAAAAGCTGTAACCACAGCTAGTTCCCTGAATTAATCATAGACCCAGCATATGCCATCTTCCCTGAGCAGCAGGCTGTCAGCAAAGGCTGTTCTGTCCGCTCTGATGCGAGAGTCCTCCGAAAGCCCCCTCCTGCCAGACACCCCCATTGGGCTCAGCAAGATGTCAAGAAAGCTCACCCAGCATGAAACTACTTGGGTACCAATCCTACCTGGCATTTGATTAAGGTTTTTAACTAAAATTGCCATTTATGAGCAGGCCCTGCTGGCAATTGCCCTTTTCCAAGGCAAATTCAATGCGTGTGACTCAGCGCAGAAGCTTGCTGCTCAGCCTCTTGGTTGTTCTGCAGCCAGTTTTAATGCTGCACTACCACTAAACTGGAGAGTTTTACTCTTTATTCATGAGCTGCTTGGTTTCAGTGCTGACCACAAGCCTCATGAGAATTTGTTTGCACTACTGATTTGAAGGCATCTGCCCACAGCAAACTACAAAGCCAAACAAGAAACGATCTGGCCCTATTGTGAAGTACAAAGTCAGTGGCAAACCTGGTTAAAAATATCCTCTTTTGCTTGGCTTCTTTACTGTGGAGGCGTCAGGCTTTCTTGCTCCCCTCCCTGTCAGTGGCCACTGTGAAACTTTGGGGCAGTAGGCCCCAGCATGACTCAGGGACACTGGCTTTAGCCAGAGAGCCTTCTGCCCGTGCTGGGGATGGAAAGGAGGAGAAACCTGGGAGAAGAGCAGCTGCCTCTCGACCAAATCTCCTTCTTCAGCACTAGTTGGTGGGGCTCTGGCTAATGTGATGACATGCTGAGCCATGAGGGAGAATGGAGGAGGGAAATGCTATTAATATGCTTTTTCCTGAAAATTCTGGACCAACTACTTTGTGCTGAGTGAAGGCAAAAGGAGTGACATTCCTTCTGGCTCTGCAGCTGCTTCCAGTGTTTTTTATACAGCTCCCAACTGGCGCAGCTGTGCAAATGGGTTGGAGCTGTTTACATGCTTCAAAACTGAATGCTTGGTTCCTCCCAATACTCTTTATCCAGCACCCCTAGAGCCAGACAAGGCCCAGGCCTTGGGCTGAAATTAATCCCCCAGTGCTGGGGGCCAGCAGTGACACAATGCTCACCTGCAGGAGGTCACGGAACTTGTTGGAGACGTCAGCCATGTCAGAGAGGCAGCTATCAATCTTGGCTTGTGCTTGTTCACCCCCAAAGCCTTGGCTAAGCAGTTTGGCGCAGTCGCTCTGCAGGAAAGAGATCCACAAGCATGCTGCTAATTAATAACCCAGGCTGCCTCCATCCCTGTGCACTGTCAAGCTCTGGCTGCCCACCAGCATGCTTGCAAAGACAGACACCAAACTCTTGCCCTTGCTGAAGCTGCTGACTCCAGCAGGGGAGAGAACAGCAAGAAAGGAACCCAGAGGCAATATCACCCTGCACCAGGGAACCACAATCAAATGGTTTTATTTTACTGGTCAACCTGAAGGAACTGGTATTTCCAGTTAGACCAAGGTACACCACTGATGCTACTGAGCTCTGACAGCTCTGAATTGTTTTCCTAAGGTTGGAGGGCAGATGTCAGGAATTTGGGCAAAGCAAAGTCCAGGTGACTTATTTGACCCTACAAGGGAGGATATTACATGTTTGATTATGGGGAAAAAAAAAACAGTAAACAATGTAGAGCAAACCTCTAAAGTCTTCTTCAGGGTCATGATGTTTTCACTGCAGACTTCCACGTTGTTTAAGGTCACCTGGGGAAAAAAAAAAAAAGCAAGTGGAATTCATTGGAATTTCCCACTGTTGGTAGAAAGTTCGAGTCATGTTAGTCCAATTCTTTCTCCTTGTTCTGTCCATGATGTTGCAGCAAAGCCTCAAATGTGATGGAAGAATGCATGAACCCCCAGCTTCTCTTTTTTTGTGACTGTCACAAAGAACAACCATCTGTGAGCAGCTGAAGGTGATGGTTTATACACAGTACATCCAGACAAACAGGGAAGGCATGCATACGTAGGAAAAATCAGCACCCTCCTGCCAGATGAATGTCTGTTCTCCACTGAACAGACTGTTCTCTACCTGCTAAAGCCAAACTAACTGTCAGAACTATCTGAGATTTGTGCAGACAGGGATATGAGGCAAGCTGACAGGTGAAGGAGGAGTTCTGGTACGAGAACTGACATTTGAAGCACTTTGCATCAAGATACCTGTAACCAAGAGTTTAATGAAATGAAAGCATTCAGTCTCTCCTGCTGTCTTTGTAGAGCTGGCTGAAAGGAGAAAGCAGATCCAGGCAGAGCTGGTTGCACCGGTCCCATTCCTGAGAGTTCCCCCCTGTTTTCATCCTTACCCCAACTCCGATACCAGGACAGCCACCAGACTCACCAAAAAGGACTGCTTGGCCTCATCGGTGCTTTCGATGCCCTTTGTATCAAACTTGCCCTGCTGCAGACTGCTGTGCATGATGTTCACAGCACTGGTGACGCCTCTCTGAAAGTCCTGGAAGGTCGTTGCTGGAAAGCCCTGCTTCAGCTTGTTGCACAGAACCTCCCTATGGGGCAAGCAGAACATACTCAGCAAATGCTGCAAGAAAACAACAGTGCTGTGCACTGTGTCAAGGGTCAGCACTTGGGCCTGAAAAAGTAGAATTTCATAGGGACAATGCAGGGCTGCAGGTATCCCCTGCCAGAACATAAGATGAAAGGCTGACATAAAAATAAAATCCTTCCTGCAGTTATCTGCTGTCTTCAGCCACAGCTCTCCACTCCCATGCTGGGAAGAGAAACAGCAGTAGGTCAATTTCTGCAGCACCACCCTGAAGTTGTTCAAGTCACAACGGAACTAAGCAGGCTTGTGGGCAACCCAGAGAGCAACTGTGCATCCCAGCACTACCATGTGGGGACAGTCTCACAGGGATTTTGGGCCACGAGATTCCTGTTTCTCTTTTATGATTATCCTGCAACCGCTACTGTGAGAAAAGTATGCCTGATGCTGCCTCCTACTACATCTCCACAGAGATGACAAAGGATCAAAGGTTAGAACACAAGGAAGACCATCTGCCAACAAACACTGTTTGCAGAATGTGAGGGGAAAGTAAGGTATGATGAATCTGGTGTATTTTCATTACCTGAAGTCAGACTCCAGCTCGGTGGTGGAGTGGTTGATCATGGCACAGAGACAGTCTATGTTGGAACTGGATAGAGCACGCCCAATGCACTTCTTCACTATATAAAACACATCATCCACCATGCTGGAGGTGAGCTGGCCCTTCTCATAGCTGTCCATGGCAACAGCCTGTAAAGAACAGCCTGTCTCAGTGCCCCGAGCTCAGCTGTGTCCTCCCAGAGCAGCGCTGTGAGACCAAACCGTGGAATGCTGCCAGCTTTCTCTTTTCACCCTGAGCTGAACTGAGCCATCTGTGGGCTGGCATCACTCACCCTAGTTTTCAGTAGCCTGTAGACTTGAAAAATCTGACCACTCAAGCCCCTCACCTCCACACCACATCCAAAAAGTTCCTCTGTGGAACAGAAGTTGCTCTTCAAAGCCAATAACTAAGCATCAGCTATGGGAAACATGGGTCTGCAGGCTCACAGAAGCGGCTGACAGAAACAATGCGCTTTGCACTGCCAGCACGACCTTCAACACAAACCTATCTTGCAAGCTATGCTTGGAGCAGTTGCTTCATAACCTCCTGATACAGCTTTGGCTCCACAGCCACTACAGCTGTGTAAGCAGAGGGAGGGAGGAGAGCAGTGTGAGGCTAATGGACCAGAGTCAGCAGCTACATTTGGCCAAGGAGAGAGCGCCCAGAAGGTGGGACTGGCTGCCAGCCCTGCCAAAGCACAGAATCAGACACTTCCCATACACAGGGGTATGTTTGGAGCTTTTCAAGGCCAAGGGAAACAAGAGACATTCCCAACCTCTGCAGTCCTCCTGTGTACAAATCTCCCTCTCTAGGAGTGTTCAGCAGAAGATTGTGGAGCATGCATGTAAATCTCAGCCAGTGGCACAGCTATGGCAAGCAGCAGTCTGAGCTCTACCTTGTTGACAGTCTCCCTCATGAAATATTGCTCCATGGTGATGTAGTAGCCAATGAGTTCTTGCATGGTGCAGCTCAGCAGACAGTTGTTGAGGAGTTTGTCCAGGTATTTTTGGTGTTCTACAGAACACAAAAGAGAACTATCAGCCAAGAGACAGAAGACAGTTCCATCTAATCCCCTTGCTGCCTGCCCAGTAGGCACACACCTGCAAAGCTCAACCTGGAATAAACCACAGGCCTCAACTGTGGAGCCAAGAGAGCCTAGCAGACTTTTGCAGGTGACATATATGACTTCCAGAGCTCTATGCATACCAAAACCCTAGGCCTGTTCTCTCTGTGGAGTCTGCCATAGTGCCTTCAGTGCCCAAAGGGCTCTCCCTTTCTTTGGAAACCTCATTTATTATGCTCTGCAGGCATTCCAATAGTTGGTTTATCTTCTACAGAGTGCTTTCAAAGTACTTTTGCTGAGCTGGTGTCAGTGCTCTGATACTAACTTGGACACATCCCCACTCTGGACAGCTGTGAGGAACAGAGAGCCTGCAAACATTGGTATTCAAGATATTACCTTGCTTTACTTCCTCAGAGGCCATGGAGTCTCCCACCTCAAAATCAGCTACTATTCGTCTCTTGATGAACCTCAAGTAGAGCTCACTGCGGGCATTCATCAGGGTGACCTCTGTTAAAATCGGGTCAAGTTCCCTGCGAGGGACATAACAAGAGTCAGGGCTGCAGGTGTACAGAAGGAGGGCACTCGTTTAGCTCAGTTAAGCGGCGAGTTCTCTGCTGTTTTACTACAAGATCAATACTGCCCATTTCCATGTGTGCTATCGAGTGGCAGAGCTCAGCAGAATAACTGGTACGTGCAAATAACACCAACCCTGCTTTGAAACACATCTGGGGAGCTTGTTTGCATGGAGGGTTGCTTCTTGTCCTGACAACTCACTACCTCAGCTGAATTAAATGGAGACAGGTTATGCTGGGAAGCAGACAAGCGCTGCCAAGATGGAATGGCTCAGCAGCTCATCTTGTCAGTCACTCTGCAGCAAAGCAGGCCAACAGCAGCTGTCCTTACAGCAGGTTTCCAGGCTGAGTCTGCCCTAGCAGCAGCAGCACTTCCCTGCTCTGTGCCCAGCCTCATGTAGGCACTAGGTTCACATCTGCTAAAGCACTTTAAAGCAGGCTGCATGCTGCCACCTCACGTGACAATCGAAATGTCCTGAGAAAATCATTAGAGAACGTTCTTTGTTTCCCTCATGAATGTGAGAGCAACCACATTAAAATCATCACAAGGCTCTGAACAGCCTGATACCACTTCAAAATCAGCCCTGTTTTGAGTGGGAGGACAGACCTGAGACTTTCATCAGTCCCTTCCTGCCTCGGTTTTGCCATCATTCTGTGAGCCCTGCTGTTAGAAATGCCTGGTCCCCGTCATCTCCAGAGTCACTTGTTCTTCTGAAAATGCTGAAAGATCTGTTCAGGCTGAATAGCCCAGGAAACTTGAAATCAAAGAAGCACACGACAGTGCAGAATGTAGTGTTCAGATGTGAGAGAGCTATGAAAAAATTACTGTCACATCAGCAGCATTTTTATTAACGTGCATGAAAGCACTTTGCACATACTGCTCACAGCCTCCCAACGAACAAAAGTGGGACAAGAAACAATTATGCTTATTTTATGGATGGAAAACAAAAGCTCAGAAAGGGGATGCGTCCACATTTACTCAAACAGTGAGCAGATCACTAAATAATCACTGAAATGAGTGGTCATGCAGGCTCACAGACATATCGTGTTCAACAAACATTGCTTTTCTTTCAAGGCATTGTTAGAAATCATGCAATGCCAGATGGCACTTTCAAATGGCCTTATTTAAGAGCTACGCAAGCATTCAAGACAGAAAAGGGCAGAGATTGAGAGCACTTCAGTTTATTAGCAAGACACTACTGTTACAGTCACTGCAGCAGCAGTACAGAATTAATAGGATCCAAAGATTTATTCTGGAATCTGACACAAATTATCCACCCAGGGAACTGCTCTGTTTCATGGGATCCAAGGACTGCACTCTCACCATTAAAAAGCAGTGAGGAGAGCCAAATAAAGCCTTCATGAGCAGTGGTACTCCCAGACTTCCAGCAACACGCAAGGCCAAGATTTAAAATAAAGAGAAAGCAAAGCACCACCACAGTAGCTGTCTTTTAAGGGCAGTGAAGGGTACCTAACAATTGGATGCTAGGCTTTAGTAGGTGCAAAGCCTCTGGAAGAGGCTCTGGAAGAGCTATCTAAATGCTAAGTAGCATTAATGACAGATCAAGACCAGAAGATCAGAGTAAAAAGAAGTTTTGTTTGTACCTCGGTTCAATCTTCTCTGCAGAAGAACTTCTCATCATGCTGTTCTGAACCTGCTGGAACTGCAATCACAAAAATGCAACGTCATCAACACTTCTGCTGCCAACTTGGGAGTTCCTTCTCATGCCACAGCCTAAGGAGTTGCCTGCCCAAGGAGGGCAACATGACTGCACTGCAGGAAGCGCCCTGGGAATTGAACCAATTCACCTCTTCCTCTGAGACAGAGCTCAGCTTGCCAGGAAGGGCTGTGGGATGGGAACTCCAATAGAGGCACCAGGGCGTGTAACCATGAGATGATCACAGCAGACCTCCATCAAACAGACAGGAGCAGAAATAAGACAGTGGGGAGGGTGCACTGAAAGCACCCTGCAGACGTGCAGAGAAAAGTCCTTTGTGTTCAGGGTCCATTTATCATGCTCACAATGAATCCTCTGCAACAAAAAGGGCAGCTGCAAGCTGGACTGCTTCAGCCATCAGTGCAAGTATGGAGCAAAGCAGTGTTTCTCTCAACAGACAAGGTCAAACTTTGCCACCACTGCAGCACTCGTACCCCTGCAGAGCTGGATGGAGGCTATGTCTGGCTATGCCAGGCAGAATCACACCCACTGACCTGTCTGTGATAGTCCCTCTCTTTGACAAACTTCTCCACCACTTTCTCCACCTGCTGATCACACTCTCCTTGCAGGTGCTTGATGAGGGTGTACAGCCTCCCCGGCCCATAGTAGGTTTCCACGATGGGCTGGTGGGTCTCCACAACACGAGCAATCCCTGCAGGCAGAGAGGAAGCAACAAGATGGATTTTGTTCTCAGGAGCAAGAGAGCCACAAGGAGCTCTCATCCAGCCTAGACCCAAAGCAGAGCTGTTCAGGTCCTCAGACAGGGGATCACTCACTCTCCAGATAAACGGGCCAGACCGTTCAGCTGCTCTCTAGTGACTTACTGGAGGCCTGTCATCACCACCCCCTAATCACAGCACCTTCTCTCTGCATGCAATGCCTTCTGGTTTCTCTCCTGTTTATTGCAGGGCTATGGCCTAAGTTTGCTGGGGGTTGAAAGCCATCTCTCCTCCTAAGGAGCTCCTGCCATGGGTCAGCTGCCCTCCAACCAGCAAGATACAAAGATGCAAAAATCAAAAGAATGAAGCCTTCACAGAAGGAAGCCATGCAGGCTAATCCCAGAGGGATCATCCAAACACAATCCTAGCTTTCAGCACCAGGCTATGGGAGAATAATAATGCTAGGAAAATGAGCCTACGGAAAGCTCTGCTCTTTTTTTGTCAGGTGGAACAAGAGGGCAAAAGTCAGTGAAGGCAGGAGCTCTTTGGAGAAAAAGCTCATCACCAAGAAGGTATCTCTCTAAGACTGCTTTCTTCTCACATGCTCTCTGCTCTGAGAGATAGCAACACTCCTCCTCTCCTACCACTAGTGCCAAGAAAGCCCCAGTAGCTCTAAGGGCCTTCAGTAGCAGCACGGGTGCCAGGCTGAGAGCGACTTGGCAGCGCTGCAGCCTGGAATTAGAGCAGATACAATAGAGAAGGCGGGTTAATCATCATGGGATCTCAATTACTGTCTTTGGCAACATCCCCACAGAGCATTCATGTTCCTCTCTCTCCCTTCAAGCTGCCACGGTCCTCCTTGAAGAGCCAGGCCTGGAGGCATCAGGAGATGCTCAACTTTAAGGGATCTGATTTGTTTGTCTGGAGAGCTGTGTGCCTGAAAAATCCTTTAGGGAACACCCATTTGTTTTGAGGATGCAGAGAACAGAAAGAAACTGATTCCTGGAGGTAGCAAAAAAAATCCTTTGCAATTCCACTGTGCCTGCACAAGCTGTACAGAGGAAAGCTTGCTTATTCTAATGCTCTCTCCTGGCTGGACAAGTCTGCTATCTGTGTCTGCATCCCTCTAGCACGATGGTCCCATAGCTCAAAGGGCATTTAATGGCATGGAGCTAGAACTAAAAAACATTTAGATCGATGAACTATCTCATCATAAACTATTTTCAATCCACTGGCAAAGAGAAGAGGGAGAAGACTACCTTCAAAGAGGAGTGTCAAGGTATCTGCAAAGATGACAGCAGCTCGACGGTCACTCATGTCTGTCCCCATCACCAGCTGCAGGTTCTCCTCTGCTTTCTTGGCCACCTGCACGACACCAGGTTCAGTCAGCACTCAAAGCTCATCCCATAGCCTGGGCCCTTGTTCCCTGCACTATCAAGTGCAGTGCAGTATTTCTGTTGCTATCATTCCCATTGCAAGTGTTACTGTTGCTGCTGTTTCCCCAGATTGTTTTCTTCTCTGGTGGAAAACTCAAGGTTCAAGGAGAGGCAGAAACTTGATCTTCTCTTTCCAGGCTCTGCCGTATGAGCTTTCAGCAAATACAAAGAAGACATAAAAGGAGAAACAAGACGGCTAGCGGGCTATGTATTCAAACACCAAGATTGGTGCCTTGGTGCAAAAGGTAGGGGAAGAGCTGAACTGAGGGCCAATACTAATTTCAAAAACTAACACGCCAGGGACAAGACCCTAGAGACTGGATTTTGCTTTCCCCCAGCACTGCATGTTTCACAGAACGTGTTACCTGCTTGCAGAGGTACTCTGAGAACTTGCTCAGCCCCTCTTCATGTAAGCCTAGCAGGGGAAAGATTTTGAAGAATCGTTCCACCTGGGGCAGGTCTCCCTGCTTCATAGCTGTGTCGAATTTCTCTGTGACAATTGTCTTCAGGCGCTGCTCTGATTCCTGCAGGAGCTTCAGGTTGGCATCAATTATGCCCCCTGTTGAAAGGCAAGAGAAGAAATGAAGTAACATCGCACTATTCTCACCTCACAAAGGACTATTCATTCTCCTGATAGACTAAGGTTGTGCAGCTCAAAGGTGAGAAGGCAGAAGGTATACCAGCATCCCTCTGTGAGTCACAGCAAAGAAAGGTAAGTCTGAAGTACACCCAACTAACAGGACTCCTGTTGTGAACAAATCAACTGGAAATTTATGTTAGGGATTGGGCAATTTGTTCATTTGCGTCCAGTTGTTTCTCCTAGTATCACACTGCAATACTGCAAGTGTTCCCCTGACAGTCTTCTCCCTCACGTCTTTTACCCTGTACGTTTTGTCCTTTCCCCAGGCAGCTATTAAAACCTCGTGCCAGGAACGCTTCTTCAATTAATGATAATTCAAACATGACTACACTTCAAAGACTTTGATGTCCGTTTCTGTATCACATTCTAAGACTTTTGGCAAACATTCAGTGTTCTGCTTTGTCCACTGGACTGGGACTATCTGTCATAAAGAATCACTTAGCCTCTAGTTATCTAACTGAAAGGTGCCTTATCAGCTTCTTCTCATGAACACTCCTTACCTTCCTTGCCTTGACGGCTGAGCTCAATCACTGATTTGTCCAGAGACAGATAGCGATGAATGTGAGCTGCTGCTTGTTCATAATCTTCATTTCGCAGGGCTGTTTGAACTCCATCCATGCAGAACTTTAGGTCTAGTATGTCGTCAGCTCTCTGAATGGCCTGATAGAGTCGATTCTGCAAGAAAGTCAAGCAGTAAGGCTTGCTGCTGCAGGCTGGACAAGGGAAAGAGAATCAGGAAAAGACAGAAGACAGCACCTGGAGGAAAAAGACTGAAGAAACAGACCAAAGCGATGCTCCTCTACACAATGAGCAGCTACATAAGCAGAAACCCCAAAAGGGTTGTAGGTCCAGTGAATCTGATAGAAGAGAAGCATTTGCCCACACAAGCTCAGATTGAGTTCACAGAGCATACTCCACCTTAACAGGCAAAGACAAGAGGCACTGTCACAACTGTGCAGGCTGCTGGGATCTGAAGCCTCCGAGCTCATCTCTACAGAAAGACAGCCTGGATTCCTGCCCAATCTCAGCTGACAACAACCACCTCCTCTGTCCTCAGCACTGCAAGAGCTAACAACGTTGTGCTAACTAGTTGAGGCTAAACTCGACTTATTCACCATAATCTGCAAAAATATGCTGAAGAAGCAGCTGCTATATGGGAAATCCTAACATTACTCTTGCAACCTGCAATACTCAGGAACTCAGCAAGATCCTATAAGCTAGCAAAACTAGGTAGCTCTAAAATAAAGAAGAGTGATGCAAGCACCTTGGCCAGATCCAGCTGCCGGACTTTGCTGCTGACATTCTCAGCCAGGTTACATGTGAAGGTGATCATTCCTGCCAGCTGCTGGGCATCCCCCTCGATGAGCTGCAGGTTGGGGCTGGATGAAAAAAAATACATGTAGACTGAACACAAGAAAAAAAAGGTGTTGTGATTATGGAAGGAACTGTCCCACATTAATTTCCTATAATGAACTGACAGAAGCTCTGCTCTGTGTTGGTGCTGCCACACCTCAAGCACTCTGTGTAGTTTGGGCAACATGATGTAAGGAGGACATAAAGCTATTAAAGAGCATCCAAAGAAGGCTATGAGAGGGAGAAGGGTCTGGAGGGCATGGTGTGTGAGGAGTTGCTGAGGGCTCTAGGACTGTTCTGCCCCAAAGCAGAGGAGAGGCTTCAAGGCAGCTGCAGCCTCTCACGGCCTACAGCCCCTTATGGCCTATAGTGGCTCACAGGGAGAAGAGAGGCAGTGCTGAGCTCTGCTCTCTGACAGCGACAAGGCTCAACGGAACAGCGTGGAGCTGTGTCATGAGAGGGTGAGGTGTGGGCAAGGAAAGGTTCTGCCCAGAGGACGGTGGGCATGGAACAGCTCTCCCGGGCAGTAGGCACAGCTGCAAGCTACCAGAGCTCAGGGAGCACTGGGACACCATTGCAGCCACAGGGGTTGGGTTTTCCCGAGAATGTCCACGTGTCCCTTCAGCACAGTAGCGGCACCACTCACCCCATACGCTGCAGGGCCACCATTTTGCTCTCGATGGTGCCCTGCTGCTCCAGGAGGGCGTCCAGCTCCTGCTGCACGGTGCTCTGAAACACAACGGCAGAAGCACGGCTGCCCTCTGGGCTGGATAACGCTGACATCAGCCCTACGCTCTCGTGTTAACATGCTGCGATGGCTGAGTGACGCTTCCCGGAGACAGACCTGCCAGCCTTAAGCTGAGCTCACCCGACTCCCCTCTGCGGCTCAGCCTTCCCCACACACGAGCCCAGACCCGCTCCCAACTGACGGACGCTGTCAGCCGGCAGTGCTGAGGCGCCATCTCAGCGCTTCACACGGCCCGGCCCGCACCTCCTCCTCGCACAGCCGGCTGTAAGCGGCCTCCAGCTCGGACAGCTCGGTGAGGGCGCGGACTCGCTCCATGGACAGCCCGCAGCCCAGCGCGCCGCCATCGCCACCCGCCGCCATCTCGGGACGGGGCTCAGCCGGCCGCCGCCACCGCCCTCAGGCAGTGGGGCTGCCCGAGCCGTGCCTGAAGGTTCGCACCGTCTCCGTTCGGCCTGGAAGAGCGGGATGACCACGCTATTTCGATTCAACACGCCTTGACGTGTTGGGGGAATTTTGTAGAGGCTCTCAGCGCGAGGTAACGCTGCTGTCGGTCCGTGGTTATTCAGGCACTGCCTCAGACAGCCGCTTCCTCTCACAGCGCGCGCGCGCCGGGCCTCGAGGAAGGCCCCAGCGAGGAAGCGCGGGAGCGCAGCACGCAGGCGCAGGGCTGATGGCCGAGTGGGCCGGCGGGGCGCCCGCCTAGGCCGGAGCAGCATCCGCCGCCATCCGCACGGTAGGGACGGCCCCGCCGTGCTGTGCCTGTCCGGCGGCGGGCTCTCGGCTGAGTGAGTGCCGTGTAAGCCGTCATTTGTGGGGTGGGAGCGGCCGTGAGCCCCGCGGGGCCCGGGCTGTGAGGCGGGCCGGGCCTGAGCCTGAGGCGGATCCTGGGGCCGGGTGTAGGGGAAGGCGGTTCGGGAGCGGAGGGCAGGTTCCATCGCTCCGGGGCCTGAAGGACGGAGGTTTCTGTGCGGCTTGTTCGGCTTGTTCGGCTTGTGCTCGTCGTGCGTTGTTCCCGAGGGAGGGAATCGCCGCCCCGTGTTGCGGGGCTCAGGGAACAGCCGAGGAGTAACGGCACGGGAAGGTGTGCTATGGAACCATAGAGGGGTTTGGATTGGTAAGGGTTTCAGAGATCACCAGGTCCCCACTGTGCCACAGGCAGGGTTGGCAACCACTAAATCAGGCACTAGGTCAGACTGCCCGTCCAGCCTGGCTTTGAGCACCTCTAGGAGTTGGATATCCACAGCTAATCTGGGCAGCTGTGCCAGGGCCCTCAGGGAAAGATGTCAGCCAACACTTAACCTACATTTCTTTTAATTTAAAACAGTCCCCCACCGTCCTGTCACTGAGCCGGTCAGCAGTGGCTGTAAGCTCTAAATCTGCTGAGAAGGATTCCCAGGCAAAAAAAAAAAGGACCCGAGGAAATGGTCACAAGTTGTATCAGAGGAGGTTTAGTTTAGACATAAGAACTTCTTCTCTCAGATGGTGGTCAGGCATTGGAATGGCTGCCCAGGGAGGTGGTGGAGTCGCTGTCCCTGATAGTGTGCAAGAGGCACCTGGATGAAGAGCTACGAGATCTGGTTTAGTGCTTGTGGTAGCAGTGGTGATGGGAGGGCGATTGGACTGAATGATCTTGCAGGTCATTTCCAACCTTGCAGTTCAATGATTCTATGATAAGGATTAAGGTTAGAACTGCAGATTAATAAGAGAGCATCAGTTCTGCTTTTGTGCCACATGAATGATTCTGGCTGTACAAATACCTGTTGCAGATTCAGTGCCGCTACGAGAAAGTGAAGTGAATCCACTGTCACCATGTTCCTGTACAACCTCACGTTACAGCGTGCCACGGGCATCAGCTATGCCATCCATGGCAACTTCTCAGGTAACTTTTTCTATCCTGTAACATTTTTTTGGCCTAGGCTCTTTCAGACAGTAGAGAAGAAAAATAATTTCTGTGCTGTTTGGTTGCTGTAGCTACTCTGCATCAATATAGTTAAGTCTTTTACTTCTGGTGGTGTTTTATCGTTTGATCCCAAGTGTGCAACCTGAGCGATTGGTTTGTGTGGAAAGAGAGAATGTTTGGCTTGATCTCATGTGCAGATTTAATTTAGTATTTTATTTTCACAATTTATTAAGAGATAGTGAAACACAAGGCACCTTGCTTGGTGCTTTGAGTTCTCTGACAACAGTAAACAAAAATCCCTTGGATGTTCTGTCACCCTGAATATTCCACATTAATAATATACAGAAAAATATTCTGTAATCTTTCTGGCGGTGTTTATCATAACTGCTTGTTCTGCTGTGTTGTTCCTCATTCCTCAGGAACCAAACAACAAGAAATTGTTGTTTCTCGGGGCAAGATCTTGGAGCTGCTCCGCCCAGACCCCAACACAGGGAAGGTTCACACCTTGCTGACGGTGGAAGTGTTTGGGGTCATCCGCTCCCTCATGGCCTTCCGGCTGACAGGAGGGACCAAAGACTACATTGTTGTGGGCAGCGACTCAGGGCGCATTGTTATCCTGGAGTACCAGCCTTCCAAAAACGTGTTTGAGAAGATTCATCAGGAAACCTTTGGCAAGAGCGGATGTCGCAGGATTGTTCCAGGCCAGTACTTGGCCGTAGACCCGAAGGGCCGTGCTGTCATGATCAGTAAGTCGACCTAGAGGCTTGGTTTTTTGCTTGGTTTTAATTCCTGTCTTGGAGTTAATAGCAAGTTTCTGTGGGGTGTGTTTGAAGTACTTCTTCTCAGGCAGTTTGGTAGGCTGTGAGACGTGTGAAGGAAAATGCAGACCCTTGAAATAGTTCCTTGATGCTGATGGAATTGCACAAATTAAATTCTAACGTTGGGCCAAAGCAGTCTGGAAAGAAGCCAGCCAGCTTTGTGGTGAGCGGGCAGAACCCTGATGTGTGATGTCTGGGAGAAAAGTTAGGGCTGCAGCCATCTGTCTGTGGTGTGGTCAGCTCCTCCAGCCTGAAATGATGCTGTGAATTCATGTCTCTTCTCTGACGTGTAGTGTGGAGACAACTAGATGAATCTCTGATCAGGCTTCATAGCTAGAAAGAACACTTTGGTAGTTTAAGCATTACCATGAGGCATCTTACTTACTTGGTTGGCTGACCAGCATTGCTAGCAGTTGTGTTTTTACAGCCAACGGGATGGCAAGCTTGTGGAGTGAGAATAAACACGAGTGCATGAACTTCCTTAGTTTGCTAAAGCTGTTTTTTTTTTTTTTAACTTGTTCTTGTTTCCATGCAGTCCATCGTGTTTTGTGTTGTGGAATGTGGGTAGATCTGCCTGTAGCTACCATGGGCTGAATACTGGGCTAGTTGAAACTAACCCAAAGAGTCAGAGTTAGTTTTCAGAGCTGGATTTGTTGCTTACAGTCTGAAATACTAAAAGTGAGGTGTTTGAAGATAATTGTTGACACAGGGATAAGTAACCAATAGCAGATTTCAGCAGCAAAATAATGCCGACGTTCTGTTGTGAAGGTTTGTGTTGGGATGCAGGTTTGACAGCTCTCATCACCAACTATTGCTGCCCTTTTCTTGCAGGTGCTATTGAAAAGCAGAAGCTGGTGTATATCTTAAACAGAGATGCTGCAGCTCGGCTCACCATTTCCTCCCCACTGGAAGCCCACAAGGCCAATACCTTGGTCTACCACGTGGTGGGAGTCGACGTGGGGTTTGAAAACCCAATGTTTGCTTGTCTGGAAATGGATTACGAGGTGAGAAGACTTTGGTGACTTTCTGCTGTCTTCTGCACTTTGTTACTTCTCTTCTGTCCTGCTTCACCTGTCTGTGGAACCAGGGAGCGTTGTGTGCCTTTCCTGTCTGAGATGACTTTTATTTGTCTCGGGCTTACTTGCATTCTTGTCTTACCTTTAGTCAGAGCTGGAAGGTCTCTTCTGTTTTGGTGATTCTTAACTTGTTGCTGCTGAACTGCACATGTTTTCTTCCCCTGAACCTTTTGGAGCACCTTCAGCCAACTTTTTTGGGCTGCATTTTAATGTTGTTTAAAACTCTTTTTTGATATATTAGTTTTGCTTCTCCTTTTTTGAGAGACATCTTGTGTTGGTGCTGTCAGTGAGTAGCACGTGAAGAGCAAACCTTTTGCTGTTAAAATACTGCCTGAATTGTGACCAAGTTGTTTGCTTTGGACAGTGTACCTGTCAGCTGTCTGAATAAGCACCTAAAGAAAAGTGTCTGGTCTGTTGTTCTAGAGGTTAAAGCTGTACTCGAGGGCAAGCCTTCATGTTGTAATTTACACGTGCCCTGAAGTCTTGTGTGTCAGAGAGGGTGGAGGTATGATTACTGGCTAGAGGCTGAAGAAAAACCACAGGCTGTGTTTGATGGCAGACATGGTTACTGTGTGGTAACAGGCTTGAGCTGATGAGGATCTTGCTCTGTGTAGACACTGCTGGGGATGTGAAGCTCCCACTGCTGCTGTAGACTTCAGTGAAAATGATCTCTGCGTGTGTTTGAATTGCTGCTTCTCACTCGTGCCATTTCAGGTCTCAGAATGTTTTCACAGAACACACAGATACCGTTGGTGGTTGGAGTGAAGTGTTCATGTTTTGTGTTTTAGGAAGCAGACAACGATCCAACAGGAGAAGCAGCGGCCAACACACAACAGACCTTGACGTTTTATGAGCTGGACTTGGGTTTGAACCACGTAGTTAGGAAATACAGTGAGCCTCTGGAAGAGCATGGCAACTTCCTTATAACAGGTACTGCCCACTTGGCTGCTCTCTCACTTTACTGTGGGTCTGTTCGGTTCCTTTTCTGTTGTCGCTATGCTTTAGGTGCTAGGAGCTGTTTGGTTAGCAGTTTGAGCCATCAGTAGAAATTAATGGGTGAGCCAGGTCATGAATAATGGTTCACGTGTGGAAATATGCAAAAATAAGAGATACAGCTGAGGTTTGCAAACTGCTCTGCATCTCTCTTGTGTCTGCCTTGGATTCTCGTTGTTCAGAAACTAGATGTCAAACAAAATTTAATATCTGGTGACAGATGCAAAAGAATGTAATTTGAGGTAATGCATAAGTGCTGTTCTACTCTTCTGAATGGGATGTGAGCAGCTGATGTGCATGCAAAAAGCCAGTAAATAAACATCTCTAACAGCCCATCTACCAGGATTTGATACAAAGCTAACACTTTCAACTTGAGGAAGTGCTGATCTGCAGATATCTCTCCAAGTGGAAAGAAGCTGAAAGCTAGGTATGCCTACTCTGTTGTTATATCATCTGCTGGAAGCTGTCAGGAACAAACACTGGGCTGGATCTGCTTGCTCTGCTGCTGCTGCCCTTCAGTAGTGTGTTCCGTTACACTGGGCTCCCACCAGGACCATTTTAATAAACATTCTTAGATGAAAGATGTGTCAGAAAAACATCTGCTATTATGACAGCAAGCAAACATGCCAGTCACTGACAAATTGCTGATGTGGTATTTTGGGCTCAGCGTGGCTTTCTAGGTGAGAATGAGACATAAAGGATGAAACAAGCAATTTACTTGGAGATGTATGCTTTGTTTTTCTTTTTCCTGGTGCCTCAGTTCATTCTGCCCTGTTTTTATGCCCGCACAGAAAGCTGTATTCTTTCTCCTTAGAAAAAAATCATATATTCAGGGTGATGCAGAGCACTAAGAGCTATGCTGTTTCAAAGGACCAAAATAAATCTTCATAAATAGTAGTTCAGATCTGTGGTAAGAGTTCTTCTCATAGTGACGTTTCCTTGTTGTGTTTCAGTCCCTGGTGGTTCTGATGGACCCAGTGGGGTGCTGATCTGCTCAGAAAACTACATCACTTATAAAAACTTTGGTGACCAGCCGGATATCAGATGCCCAATTCCCAGGAGACGGGTGAGCATTCTGGGATTCCTCCTTTACCTTTTTATAAGATTTCCTTTGTTGTTGCTGAGTAAATTTGCCACTATCGGGGAGGATTTAAAGCGATGAGAACAGGATTAAGAATCTGTTAGCCTCTAGCTGCCTTGATGGCTGCACGTGTTATCTGTGGGGGAAGATGGGTGGTAGGCATGGCCTGATGTGATGAGTTGGTTTCATGTCTCTTCTCTGAGATTGACGCTGAAAATACTCCAAAGACTCTGATCGGGCACTTGGGGCAGTGCTGTCAGTGTAATGTAGGCTGACTTGAGGTGTTGAGTCATGGCTGCTGTTGTGTATACAGGTGAATTCAACAGCTGCTCTGTTGCTTGTAAGGCTTCGTTCTCCTCCTTCGCTGCCGCAGATCATTATGTTCTCTGGCAGAGCTTTAAACACCTGGTGCTGAAAAACATCTGGTTGTGTTACTGCTGTGTTTGGTTTTGATGTTTGGGGGTTGTCTGGGCAAAAAATAGGGGAAAGCTTAGGCGCAGGGTCTTAGAAATGTATCTCCTTTTGGGGGAGAGAGGTGCTGGGTATAATGGGGGAAAACTTCTCTGTTTGCTGTCAGTTCTCAGGCACCTGTGAAATGGAAATATTTCAGTCAGCGAAACCACATCTGTGCAGGTCTTTTCCACCAATCATTTCTGCTTTCTTTCTTGATAGAATGACTTGGATGACCCAGAGAGAGGTATGATCTTTGTCTGCTCTGCTACACACAAGACCAAATCCATGTTCTTCTTCCTGGCCCAAACAGAGCAGGGAGACATCTTCAAAATCACCCTGGAGACTGATGAGGACATGGTAAGCCATATTTGAAGAGTGACAAGAAGCACACAGTTAGAGAGTTCTTAGTCCATAGCTTTGCCTGGTTCTCTGAAGTGATAAATACACAATATTTTGGGTTTAGCACATATTCTACGTTTTCTGTGATACTGTTATGCTCACAGCTATAACTGCTGTTCCTCGTAGTGACAGCAGGGCGTGCAGAGTTCTGGTTTGTGTGCTGCAGTCGATCTTGATGCGAGTTCAGGAAACTAGCTTGGCACAGCCAGCTAGTCTGTAAGTTGAAATACCTAACTTAAACCGTAGTAGCTTGCTGCTGCTTACCCTAGTATTAAGCAATGAAAAGATTTCTGCTTCACTGAATCAGGTGCCTTTTTTTTTTTTTCTTTTAAAGTCACACATGTACAGCTTTAGTGCCTTGCTAGTAAGTTCATGTCTTCCTCTGCTTTCAGGTCACTGAGATTCGACTGAAGTACTTTGACACCGTGCCCGTAGCTGCTGCCATGTGTGTGCTGAAGACAGGATTTCTCTTTGTGGCATCTGAGTTTGGAAACCAGTGAGTAAACAGTTTCACACCAGTGGTTTTCCCCTGGAACGCTCTGTGAGCACAGACTGACCCTTGACTTCACTAAAAGTAAAAAGACAGCATCTCAGTTTTAATGGGTAGAGTAATTCTTTGTTCACGTGGCATGACTGAAGAGGGGAATTTTCTTCTTGCTGATCCCAGATTAAATATAGTAGTGCAGTGAACAAAAGATGATGTGTTTCTGTGGTTGGAAGAAGTGGGCGTTCCATTCTGGGTAGGATCAGTCACCTTCTGATGGTTCATTTGTTCAATTTTGGTTGAACTTGTACATGGACTACAGCATCTCTCAAAATGTAACTGCAGACTCAGGAGCTGGTAGGGTTTTTTATCAGTAGCTGTACGGTCCTTTTCTTAATAGAAGTGTTGTTGAGGACCTTCTCTTTTCCTATTCAGGGGTGTAGAGTACTCCAAAAAGTCTTCATGTGCCTTTGAGGGTGGCTTTGCAGCTGTGTGTTTACAGGAATGGAGATTAATGCTCTCCTGCCTGCATCTGCAGAGTCAGCCAGCTGGGGGAGTTCCGACCAGTTTACCAGTGTGAATCTGAACTCCTCTGCATAAAGCAGGCTTTTGAGGGAGACACATTAATTTGAGCATCATTAAAGACAAGAAGTACATTGCTCTGTATTTCTGGAGTTCTTTTTTTCCTCTGAAGTTCAGCTTGATTGTTGTGCTGTGTAGGGTTGTAAAATGGAATGGGGCATGGGGCTGAGAATAACAAGGTGAGGATATGCCAATAAAATACATGACTGGAGTTGTGGCTTTAGTCCTCAGCCTTGCTTGTGGCTTCAATTGTCAGTTAATGCTTTGGCTCCAACACTGGAGTGTCTCAAAGGCTCAGTGGTAAACAGAAAGCACTGAAACTCTGCCATACCTTGCCACTGACAGCTACAAACAAGACCATGATTTTAGTTATTTTATTTAATGAGCATCTGATTCCCTTCTAATGCTTTTTAATTTTTTTTCCATGAAGAAAATAACCCCTAGGGCAAAATTTTAATAACTGTGTGATACAGGGAAGGATTTCCCTCCATCATGCTGAATGTTTGGCTGGGCTGTATTAGAGAAGACTGAATACACTCAGCACTGAACATGCTGTTTCTTTCGCTTTGTGTCTCAAGTTATCTGTACCAGATAGCCCACCTGGGTGATGATGATGAGGAACCAGAGTTCTCTTCTGCCATGCCTCTGGAGGAGGGAGATACATTCTTTTTTCAGCCACGACCTCTCAAAAACCTGGTGCTGGTGGATGAATTGGACAGTTTGTCTCCTATTCTGTGTTGTCAGGTAGGTTGCTGTCAGCGAGCTCCCTTCTGTTCGTAGGGCTCTCTCACTTAGAGGAATTGATTACAGGTGCATGACTGGTTTTCCATGCTTTTGTGTGCGAGCAGAGTCAGCAAAGATACGTTATCCCAAGTTTCCAGAAACATTGCATTGTACTAAATGCTGATAGAAGAGCTTCTCTGCTGAATTCTCAGCCAGCTGCTTAAGGCTCTCACTGGTCTGTTCTCTTCCTGTGGCTCAGTTTTGTTTTATCTGCTTCCATGCAGATAGCAGATCTTGCCAATGAGGACACACCCCAGCTGTATGTGGCCTGCGGTCGGGGGCCACGGTCATCTCTGAGGGTTCTAAGACATGGACTTGAGGTAAACCTTCCAGCATATTAGAAAAACAGCTTGAGGGGCAAGGAACGTAGGAGACAATCCGAGCAATAAGGGTGCTCTAATGAAGGGATTCTTCTTTTGCTACAGCCTGGAGGGAGAGTAACTTTCTAGGTTTCTGCCTTGGAAACAGAAGGACTGCTGTTTACTTGTACAAGCTCAAAGGCTTTTTGCTTTATTGACTCTAAACTACCTGCGTTTTGTCTCAAATGCTTGAGTGTATTGAATTGGAACTTTCCCAATGTCGTTGTCAGCTGCTTCTGCTATCTGTTTGCTGGGGGTGGATGACCTTGTTTTAAAGCTGCTCTTCTGGAGCTCTGATGTTGCAATATCACTGATGAATATATTCTACCCCCTTGCACATCTGGCATCAGGGGGAGAGCCTAGAGTGGGGAATTTGCTAGCTTTCCTGTCCAATTGTGGGAAAGCTTAAAAACTGCTGATTGTTTATGACAGTAGGACTGCAGCAAGCCTAAACATCCACTGTCAAAAGAACCTGGTTCCTGTTTTCTCTTAGGTATCTGAAATGGCCGTCTCAGAGCTGCCCGGTAACCCCAATGCTGTATGGACTGTGAGGAGACACGTTGAAGGTATGCAGTATTTTCCTTAAGCTGAAGGAAGGGGGTGTTGTGCAGCCACCTGTTTGCACTTTGAAGCCGCCCTCTGGTCCCCTAGAATCGTCATGCTTCCCTTTGACAAAGAAACTGCTCACAGCTGCATCCATCCATCGCACAGTGTGCTGCATCAGCTGTGCCTTTACAGCCTGAAGCTGCTGAACTTCTCATTTCCCAGTTCCCAGTAAGGTTTTGCTCCGACATTCATAGGCAGTGATTATGCTTTTTATTGGAGCGTACTTGCTATTCTTCATACGTGTTGACAACTGCAGTAATCAGCTCTTTGTGAGCGAGCGGGTAAAAATTATGGAAAAAACCCAGATAAATCAGCAGCAGTATCTGTTCTATTGCTTCCCTCCGTGCATATCTGTAAAGAAAGCAGTCTGTTTGGAGTGGGACATGCTGCCTGTTCAAAAACCCAGCAGGGTTTGGGTGCTGCTCTTTCCAGGAAGCTCTGTAACTGAAACTGGCAAAAGGCACTGGGTTGTGGGGCTGTTTGTTTTTTTTTTTTTCCTGATCTCAGATAATGAGTTTGCATTGTGAAAGATGAGAGGAAACGTATTCCATTGTCCTGCCTTTCTGCTGGAGGTGAGAACAAGTCCTCAGAAATATCTAAAAGGCTTGAATGAAATTGTCTAGGTACTGTAAATCTCCGTAATTATTTCTGAGACAGTGCAAATCTTTCAAAGACTCGCTGTAGTTTATGCACCGGGTGCAGAAATGCCAGATTGTTGCAGTGAAGACCTCAGCCTTCTGTGTTGATACGGTTTCTTGTTTTTTAAGCAGTCTTAGGGTAGTGTGTCTTCCAGGGATCCTGTAGCCCTGTGGAAATTTCAGACGTTGCTGTAGGATTTACCTTGTCATTTGAGACCTATCTTTGATTTCTGTACTGTTCTGAGATTCAAGTACTGCCTGAGCAGCAAGGAAAAAAGCTCTGAGCGGGAAGTTCCTGCATGTTCTCCAGAACTAAAAAGGAACAGAAGGAAAATATTTCCACAGTTCCTCTCCAAACCATGTGTTTTTCTTTAGAAGAGGCATTCCAGTGTGTTAGAGGCAAATCTATGCTCCAGTCCTGGTATAGAAGTAGGTAACTTTCTTTTCCTTTAAAAAATTGAGCCTTCTAACATCATTTCAGAATTTTACAACCTTTTCTGTTGGGGTTGCAGAGGATGGCTGACTCTCAGGAGATAGAGGACCATTGCTAATCTCACTACCTCCTCTTTTTTCCTCCACCAAATTCTTAGAGTCTCAGCACGAGGATCTCAGCAATTTCAGAAGGACTGCAATCTGTTGCTGCTGTGACCTTAGTACTTCTTGTACAGGAAGTTCCATAAGACCAGTCACCAAGTTACAACTCTTTGAATTCACAGCCAACGTTGTGTATAATTAGAAAGACTGCAGGACCCCTTCAGACAGCTGTCTAACACTGAAACTGCACAAGGGCTGCTTTTTTGAGTTCTCAGCATCAGATTGCCTGGCTCCCTCTCTATGCCACAGCGTGCTCATGCTGCAAGGCCTCTGTAAGACACACACAAGCATGCAGCCTTCAAAGCAAACACTAACCCTGGCTGGTACGTGGTGATACACACTACCAATACCAAGCCTCTTTTTTTCTTCCACAGGTGGCTGGTGGTGGAGGTGCTGATCACCACAGGTGTGTACATACTGCTAGGGGTTGCTGAGCTGTCCCACAGGTTAACCACAGAGAATCCCAAAATCACGGGGTTGCTTCTATGCTGAGCTTTTCAGTAAATGAATTCTGAAAGCTGTCCTATAGTTGGAGATGGTCGTGTTTGTTAGCTGAGGATTACAAAGCAACTTCCGTTCCACCTCAGGATCTCCAAGGAGCAAAATACTGACTGTATCTCTGCAGAATGCTCAGTTCTTGCTGAAGTCAGTGGTGCACATTTCAAGGGTGCTTTCAGCTCCATTCCTAGACAGGATTGACTCCCAGCCACATAATTGGTTTTTATCCCCTCACAAGTGTGCGTGGAGCACCTGTAGGTATTGCTGGCACGGTTGCTTGTATGTGGCTGCCCATCAAACAAGAAGCATGTGGAATTTGGACCAGACCCTTTTTTGCAGTTGGACGTGGAGGACTGCAAGCTGAGAGGGCTGTGTGCTTTGCAGTGGGATGGATGTAAGCTGAGTCCTAACAGTCTGTAGGCACTGCCTGATGTTTCTCGCACCAGAAGAGATGTGTGGTGAGTCACAGCTCCATGCAGTAGTAAACAGAAGCCTAGGGAGATGTGCTGTCATCCCATCAGTGTCTTTGAAGTGAGAATAATCCTGAACTTTGTCACTGCTCATCTATTTGTGCACTGAACCTGTCTTAACTAGTGGTGGCTGTGTTTGCATCGCTGCAAATCCAAGTGCTGCAGAGCATGAAAAACTTTCATCTCGGGTGTGGACTGCCTTCTCACAATGGAATTTTCATGGACTGACTCAAAATGAATTCATGACAAGTAGCAAAAAGGATGGTAGTGTAACGTTCGTGGGCTGAAATGTGGTGTTTATATAACTGATCCTGACGTGTGCATGAAGCTGCAGAAAACTCGTAATGAAGGTACAGGAGAATGAGTCCAGCTGTGGTTCTTCAGAGTCATTAAAATGTCTCTGTTGCTAGCTGAAAGGGAGCTAACTGGAGCAGTTAGAGCAGTAATGAACATCTCTGAAGTCTGTGTCTGCACACAAAATAATGTCTTATCTGTTCAGAACTCTGGGCAGCCTGATGTTGTGCTTGGGATTGCAGAGAGCTAAGCAGATAGCTTTTCATATTAAAATAGATGGCTCTTTTTCTGACTGAGGATACTCAGTGTGCCCCGGGGATTTAGTCCTCTTAATTTCAACCAGGCAGTTTTCTAAAGCAAAAATTGCATCGTTTGTATCTGGATGAATGTGTCTTATTCACTGACTGCATTCTGGTAAATCAAACCCTTTATTTCAAAAGCTCCAGCAGAGAGGCATTAAGCAACGCTACTGGACTTCGAGCAAAAATGCACTTGTCACTATTACTGCCACAGAATTAAAGACATGCTCTAATGTAACCAAACCAGTGAAAAGAAAGAGCTAGAAGTCTTAAGGGGTAAGAATGAGTTTCGTTTGGAGTAGGACTAAGGGAATCTGTTTCGCTTTCAAATGGGAGTTCTTTGTCCTGCTCCAAATCACATGACTGAGCCTCCAGCTGGGACGTGGCCGTTCATCATGGGAATGGCAGCCTCCAGGGAAAAAGGAGTAGCTTTCAAGGAGTTTGGAAAGTGACGATGGTCTTTGAAATGGAATTTTTAGCACATCCTGTCTATGAGATATTTATGAATTAAAGGCCAGTGAACAGCTAGAATCTAGTTAAAGCAGTCAAGGAATTCTTGTAGGCTTTTGGTGTTGAAAAATGCATGCAAGATTTAAGGAAAGGCCTTATTCAGTGTGGAGAAAAAAGCTGTGTAATAGCGCGCATCTTACTGAACTCTTAGCATCTGCTGATAATGTCAGAGGAATTCTTCTGTTAAGCCAAGTGTTGAAGTAGTTGGCCTTAGTAATCAGTTTCTGTGTACAGGTTCAGGTCTCCTGTCCTGATTTCCTGACGTAGACCTGCTCCTGTTGGTGCACTTTGGGAGCTCGTTGCGTTTTTTGGATTGTGATTGCTTAACAGAGCAGTAATGGAGTTCGTGCCACAGGGCAATGCTGGAATTGCTTTAGCTACACAAAGCTCCTCAGTCTGATCAGAGCTGTGGCCTGTATACCAGATGTTGGAGAGACAAATGATGTTTTTTTTTCACTCACATATTTTCAGCTGTATGTAAGACCTCTGTTATAAATATGACACAGCAGATTTGGCAACACCTTCCTCTAGGCAGGGTGGGTAAGAAAACAATCTATTCCTGAAGCACTTGTTTCAATTATCCCAATTCAACTGATTCTTTTAAGGTGATACGGGTTAGTTGCTGGCATCCTGTATTCATCCCAATGAGGGCTCCCCGTTTGCTTGATGCACTTGGAGGTTCGTTAACCACTGCGAGCTAATCATGGTGACCCTGCTGAAGGGCCAGAACTGGGCAGCTCTCTCTTAGCCTCACCTCTGCTTATTCTCATGGTGCTGTGGTGCATAAGTTTGAGCTCTTGGGTTAAAATGGGGAATTCCTCCTGTTGAAGAAGTAGCGCTTCCGTGGCAACAGCATCAGGAGTGAAGTAGCTGCTTCGAGACAGTTTTATTTCTCCGTTGAGACTCCTGGCTGCATTTCCCAGCAGACTTTGTTGTTCCCATTACTTTCGTTCTGTTCTAATGAGGCTCTACTCTCTCTCTTTCATGCCTCTCTCTTTTGGAAGAATGCAAACGGCAGTAGTGGACCAGAGCATGTCCTTTACCCTGTCCTACTGCCCGTTTCCCACAGTTTCCTTACTTCCATGTGAGCTGTTAAATCTATTTTTGTTAGTAGAGCTCTTTCACGTCCAAGCTACTGGACTCTCCCAAGCTGTCTCCTTTGAGAGAAGCCAGCACTGGAGATAGTAGCTACAATGCTGTTGTTAATTCCAGTAGAAGTGAAAGTCAACACTTGCTCTGTCTTTAAAAATGTAATTGCTTCTCATCCTGGAAATCCATATGGATGCTGTGTGAATGAGAGCTAGTTGAACTTCTGGGTGAGTGTAGAGCCGGCAGGCTAGCCCTGAGCTCCTCCGCTCTAGCTGTCTTCAGCCTTTTATTATGTGGATACAAACGAGAGATGTGGTCTTGCAAACTCCTGTTCATAGCATCCGTGATGTCGTTTCTGCAAATAGATTCCATCTGTTTTGGTTTACTGGAGTTGAGTTTCATTCGACTTTGCTGGCTGTTAAATCTGGATTCATTTTCTTGTGTGAGGCGGGGCAAGTGTCTCAGAGGCTTTAGACCCCGTGCTGTCCTTGAAAGAAAGAAAGAAAAAAAGAAAAAGGAGTAGGCAGGAGGTTGCTCACCAGATTCCAGATCATGATGAACTCACTGTGTATCTGCGTCGCCGTTCGATCCCCCGGCCCAGCCTTGCTCCTGTTGCTTGGAGTCGAGCAGCAGGCGGCTTTTGCACAGGGTGTCCTAGGACGAACTTGCACAATATTGCCAGCAGATGTAATTATCACAGGAATTCTGCTGAAGAGCAGCTGCTAGACATTCATCAGACTGTTAATGTCGTTGGGAGGCCTTACATTTGTTTAATCAGCAGCCTTTTTTTTGTTTTTTGTTTTTCCCCCCCCTCGTCTCACTTGACCAGATGAGTTTGATGCCTATATCATTGTGTCCTTCGTCAATGCCACCCTGGTGCTGTCTATCGGAGAGACTGTAGAAGAAGTGACTGACTCTGGATTCCTGGGTACTACACCCACCTTGTCCTGCTCTCTTCTGGGGGATGATGCCTTAGTACAGGTAATGGGAAGCTGCTTCTGGCGTGTCTGCAGACGTTTGCCAGTGGCTGCTTGCTGCACGGTTGTGCTCCCTGCAGTAGTGCCTGTCATGTCAAAAGGTGTGGATTGGTAGAAGACGACACTTGATCTTGCCCTTTTCTATCCTGTTAAACTGGACCAGCTGAAAATGCTCTGAGCTCCCTCAGAATGCACTCGGTAGTTCTTCACTGTAGTTCAAAGACACAATGCTTCCAGCTGGCGAGTGGCTTTGTCCTAGTTCATTCTGTTGCATTGCTAATCAGTCAGCGCTGCCAAGAGTGACGCTCGCTTTTGGCTTTTGTGTCAGAATCCAAGTGAAAGTTGGGAAGGGGTGGTGAATACAGCAGTGAATGTGACCTTTTTCCTTTCAGGTGTACCCAGATGGCATCCGGCACATCCGAGCAGATAAGAGGGTGAACGAATGGAAGACACCAGGGAAGAAAACAATTGTGAAATGTGCTGTGAACCAGAGACAAGTAGTGATAGCACTGACTGGAGGAGAGCTGGTTTATTTTGAGATGGACCCGGTACGTGCACTGATGTTGTGAAAGAGTTCACAACAGGTATTGGGGCAGATACTGATACTCCATCAAAGCTGCAGAAAAGGAGTTTGTAGTGAAGAATCCTTCTGGAATGAGTCAATCAAATCTGGACTGGGTTCACGTTAGATGACTTAATGGCTAATTAGAGCCTCTGAAGTTCATAATTGAGGTTGGAAGCCATACGCTTCCCTGCTGCTGTTCTGGTTATTTGAACTGTGGCTGAAACAAGGCTATAAATAGAATCCAAAACACTGTCTTACAAATAAGCATACAAAAGATGTTTGGAGAGACACTTAGGTGCTGGTCTGCCCCGTTACCTAATTAACGAGTCTCTTGTGTTTCTCTTTTTCAGTCAGGACAGCTGAATGAGTACACTGAAAGAAAGGAGATGTCGGCTGATGTCGTTTGCATGAGTTTGGCCAACGTTCCACCTGGGGAGCAGCGCTCCCGGTTCCTTGCTGTTGGGCTGGTGGACAACACTGTCAGGATTATTTCCCTCGACCCTTCGGTGAGCAGCCATTCTGGTTTCGCCTCTTCCTCTGGCTTGGGATGTTCAAAAGAGTGCTCCAGAGCTGTGCTGTGCGTGCTGTCTTTCCACGTTCAAGTGGGGGACCAGGAAGGAATAGCTTGCGTGGCTTTTCTCCTCTGCAGAGCTGAGAGGAACTGTGGCCCTTGATCCTAACCAGAAACAGACTCCCTAGTTTTATCTAGTCTTACTCATGTCTGGGAGTTTAGATGATAAGATATAAAAGCATTTTCTGCTTTTTGGTCTTTTCCCCTTATCTCCCTGTTTCTGCTTTTAGTAAAAGTGAACCCACTCTGCAAGCAAGTTAGCAGCAAAACAGCGTTATCATTTCTCTGCCTGCAGCAGATCAGTGTTCAAGGGATGACTGAAGCAGTGCAAACTTTGCAGTTATTTAGCATGGAGAAACCTGAGCAAACTATTCCAGGACAGTTGGAAAGGATCCAGCTCGTCTTCCACAGATCCCAGGATTGTTACCATGCCTTCCTTGCCAAGATCCATACAGCCAGCATCTATTGTGCCCTTTTTTACCCTTCTTTCTGTAAGGAACATTTCTGTCTCCCCCAGGACTGCTTGCAGCCGCTGAGTATGCAGGCCCTTCCTGCACAGCCCGAGTCGCTGTGTATCGTGGAGATGGGTGGCACCGAGAAGCAGGACGAGCTGGGGGAGAGGGGCTCCATTGGCTTTCTCTACCTGAACATTGGACTGCAGGTGAGAGGTAGCTCTGACAGCTGTGCCTTGGTGAGCTTTTGTTGGAAAGACAGATTGCTCAGGTAGCCATGTCATCATAGAGTGCAGCAGCACAAAGCCTAATAGTTTTCTCCTTGTTACAACATGCTTAACAACTGTAAGTGGGGAATTCACCATGTGACTTAGCAGAACTGCAAGTTTCCCCATACATTCCTGGGCTAGATGAAAGACAGAATATTCTCTCAGACACCATGTAGGACAAGGTGGTGTTTTCCTCCTCCAGAAAGAGGACGAGTTCTAAAAATTTTGGGGTGAAGTGTTGTTGGCCACTTCTTCAGTAACTGCCTGGAGGGCAGAGAATCAAAGGAGTGATTGCCCTCAACCACAGGCTCTGCTCTAATAAATCTATTGCTGCATGGTTTTCGTTGCATACAGCACAGACTCTGTGATCCTTAACCAAAAATGTTGTTTTGACAATTCAACATGTGGTAAAAATAATCGGAGCAATCTCGAGTTTCATGTCAGAATGCACGCTTAAGCAGCGTGGCTGGGTTTGTGCTTTTTTTTGGATAGATGCTTTGTAGCAATAGGGATTAGGAAATGGAGTCAGACCTGGAGTATTTTTGTGGCTTTTGTGATATACCAAACTTACCAGCCTCCTTTTTTCATTTTATACTTCTTAAATTAATTCCTTTCTGCCCCTTGGGAGCGCACGGGAGCTACGGATTGTAATATTAAGAGCCAACTTAGAGAGTAATTGTAGGAGGAAATTATATCAGAAGCTCGGCAAACAAGAGCCTCATTCTTCAGAAATTGTCTCTTTTGTTTGGAGTAGCATGAAGGCTGTATTTAGGTATTTCCCATCTGTAATCATGATCTAACTTGCTGATTTGCTGATGTCAAGAACGGTGTGCTGCTGCGAACTGTCCTGGATCCGGTTACGGGTGATCTTTCCGATACCAGGACCAGGTACCTGGGCTCACGGCCTGTGAAGCTCTTCCGAGTCCGAATGCAAGGCCAAGAAGCGGTGAGTGAGGCCAGCACTCGGAGGGTTATGGACCCAGTCCCCAGGTTGCAGCATCCTGCTTTTCCTTATTGGTGGGCAGGGTGGGGAATCGTCCTCACGGCGCAGCGCTGGGTGGGTGAGGGTGGGAAGGAGGATGACTGCGTTACGGAGCCGCCTGCCTCGCAGATTGCTCTTTCACAAACGACCTCATTCTTGTTCGTGTTCCCCATACTTCTGAGGAAGTAATGTGTAGTGCTGCCCTGCCTTCTCTGAATTAGGAGTCATCTGACCTGGAGACTGTATTTTCAGTTTATCTGGAAAGCTCTGCGCAGATTCTCCGGCACAGAGGCAGCAAAGAAACTCACCTTGGCTGCTGCAGTGAACAGACTGAAGGAGCTCCTTGACCACTTGATGCAGTTGATGGCCGTCTCCTTTCTAGACAGAGTCAACAAAGTTATCATGCAGGGTTGAAGGAAAATATTTGTAGGATTTGGCATGGAGGGGAGAACATGTTTCATCGGAAGTGCCATTTATTAGCTGTTCTGATGTGACACTGGGGAGATCAGCCACCCCCTGCTTGACTCATCTTTGGATAACACCTTCAGGGTTGAGAAATGTTGACAGCACAGGGGGCTGGAGCTGGCAGTCTGATCTCTGCTTTAATGTTTGGTAAGCTGAATGAATCTCTGACTTGTTGCTGCCAGCCTGCCAGCTTTAAGTTGGAGATGAGATGCTTTGCAGCACTAGGAGAATATATGCCTGTAAAACAGCTTTTTGGGTGCTTTTCTGCATTGAGATCAGCCTTAATTCCTTGTCTGACAGCATGGGGAGAAAAAAAACATTACTAGTGGCCAGTTGATGTTTGTCTTGGAGTGGCCTGGGGGTGTTTCAATATCATTCCAGCTCTTGCCAGCAGAAAGTAAAAGTTGCATTGAAATTAAGTTGTAAAGATGTATGAACCTGAAGGGTTGGAAGTCCATCTGCTTTGTTTCCCTTAATTGGTTGAAAATTTGAAGTGAATTTTTCTTAAACTCTACAGCAGAGTGCTGCTGCCCTTAGATGGTGCTGAAGCAGTAAATATTTGTCTTGCCTTGATAGGATGCTTTTGGTCAAAACAAACAAACAAAAGAACGATCTTGGCTCTTAACAGATCAAATAGTTCTTACTGTACCTGAGTTTGTGTCCACTGTCTTGGTTGTGCTTTAAAGTTCCTCTTTGTACACAATTTCCAGGTGGAATTTTCCCTTGAAAGCAAGCTGTATTTGTGAAGGTGTGCTGTGAGCTGGGTAGAGTCCAGCCTCAAGAATTTCCTTTGTGTAGCGGGGAAGGAATCGGGTTGCTGCACCGTTTGTTGGTGTGCATCAGAGTGAGCCTTGCTGTGCTGTGTCCTTCCCAGGTGCTGGCCATGTCAAGCCGTTCCTGGCTCAGTTACTCCTATCAGTCCCGTTTCCACCTGACTCCCCTGTCCTATGAGACTCTGGAGTTTGCGTCTGGTTTCGCATCTGAGCAGTGCCCAGAGGGTATTGTGGCCATCTCCACAAACACGCTGAGGTAAGGAGTGATGGGGAGCAGCAGGGCTGCTGGGCCGGGTTGGCAGGCAGGTAAGAGGGTGAGACATTGAGTAGCAGAGAGATAGTGACTTAGGTAAGAATTGGGAAGGGTGGATTGCTCGTTACTGTCAGGAAAAAATGGTGTGGTGCACCTCTCTGATTGGTGTTTCGTAGCCTGCTGAAATAACAAGTGTACTCCAGGTGACTTGTAAGTCATCCTTAGGGAGGGAGGTTGTTAAGCACTGTAAACATGCTGTCCATTAAGAGAGTCTGATGTGAACGGCTACTTTGCAGAAAACGAGGCATGTGACCTAAGAAATCAGTGGCATGACAGGGATTTGTTTGTTGTGCTTTTTAAATTGCAGCTTAAATAGATATTAAAAAAAAGGATAAGTAATGGGGGAACACAAATGCAGGAGCTTTGCTTCATGCATTTGAACAGGCACTTTTTTCATATCTCCTCACTGAAGCATTTCAGCATTCATTGCTTTTAAAGGAATCATTCTTCCTGCAGAAACTTGTGGGTTTTGGTCACAGAATGCCAGAAGAACTGGCATTTCAGCTGGCAGGCACAGAATACTGGCCGCTCAGGCACTGGCATTTTTCATAGTGTTGTAACTGAAGTGTCTCTGAGGAGTGCTTGGTAACACGTCAGACAGTCACTCACGTTTAGGCTCAGGTGATGTGTTCACATGCACGTTGTTCAGTTTGGGGTACACTTGCTTCAGCATCACAGGAGCGTGCCCCGAAGGAACAGGTGTTCAGAGTGCACCATGGGGCAGCGAGGGCCCTGGAGTCGAGAGCCCCTGCTGCAGAGCACACCTGCACAGACTCACAAAGCCCCGAGTCCTGCCCTCCTTGGAGCAATTTGCTGGTGGCTGCCTGCCCCGAGAAAGGCAGCACTGCTGGTTTCAGCACCAGCCAGTTTCACAGGCCTAAAGCTCAACTCCAGCCTTTGTCTTCAGGGTGGTTGCTTCTGAACTCTGCTGAGTGTTTTTACATCTCTGTCCCCCAGGATTTTGGCACTGGAGAAATTGGGGGCAGTCTTCAACCAGGTTGCCTTCCCATTGCAGTACACACCTCGAAAATTTGTCATTCACCCTGAGAGCAACAACCTGATTATCATTGAGACGGACCACAACGCTTACACTGAGGCCACCAAGGCACAGAGAAAGCAACAGATGGCTGAGGTAATTGGGATGGGGGATAGGTATGCAGGTCTGTTCTCCAGAGGAAATCCTCAGTTGCTCACTGGTTCCCAGCTGCCGTTGCCTGGTGGCTTTTGTGCTCTGAATGCAGGAACTGAAATGGGTGAAAATCTGCCTCATCACGTGAATTTCAGAAGAATGCAGTACTTCTGATGTTCTTTTCTTTGGGTGTTGTTACAGCAAGTTTTAAAGTCTTGCCTGTCAGGGATCGGTCCTGCTTGTGTAACACCATCCCCTGGGTTTTCTCTGACCGTTTGAGGATGTTTGGATTTCACTGGGTTGTTATCTTCAGTTTGCTCAATTCTGTTTCCAGAGTTCTTGCTTTGGAGAAATAGACTCTCCAGACGACTGCCTCGTGGGCAGAGAAGAGCTGACAGTGCTCTGCAGTGCTCTGAGCTGCAGAGATTTACTGGGGGAGTGGAAGCTTTGTGGTTTTTATGTCTTCCCAAGCCATATTCTGGAATACCTGCACTTAAAGCAGAGCATGGGCACGTCTGGGAAGGAAATCCTATGAGCTGTTTTTTCACCCCTGTCCTTTAATGTGCCATAGGAAATGGTGGAGGCTGCAGGTGAAGATGAGAGGGAGCTGGCTGCAGAGATGGCTGCAGCCTTCCTCAACGAGAATCTCCCCGAATCCATCTTTGGTGCTCCAAAGGCAGGGAACGGGCAGTGGGCCTCTGTCATCAGGGTGATGAACCCCATCCAGGGAAATACTTTAGATCTGGTCCAGCTAGAGCAAAACGAAGCTGCCTTCAGGTAAGAAGCAGTGCCAGACACAGCAAAAAAAACCTCTACTGTTGATGAGTCTTGGGTGTGTGGTGGTGGTTTTTCTTTAGTCCTCTTGTTTTCCTTGGCTGTTATTGGGAGTTGAAATCCAGATGCAGCACATTATTGGGAGGCCAGGTTAAATCCCAGAACTGAATGCTGCATGGCTTCAAGCTTTTGTCTTGCCTTTCCTCCCCAGCCTGTCCTGATCTGTCCTCATCCACGTCTGCAACTCTTAAAGAGTTCTCCAAATCTCTCCAAATGTTTGTGCTTAGAGAACAGCACTGGGATATGAGTGAGAGATAAGAGATCTGGGAACGTGACCACGTATTGCTCTCTCTCACTTCCCCTTCTCATTTAGATAAACTGAGCAAAGGCTGGATAGAAAGGAAATGTTAGAGGAGCTGAGGGGGCAGGCCAGCACAATAACTGAAGAATAACAAGTGCCTCAGCAATTGGGATGGAGTTAAGCCACCGTAGCCCAAAAGGTTGACTCTTTCCTGTTTTGTCCAGGATTCCCAACATGGCAGAGCTGGACATCAGGCAGGAAATAACAGTGGGAGATGGGGAAGGTTATACGGATAGTCCGAGTAGGAACAAGGTTTGAAAAACAGCTTCGAGTGGAACTTTGCACATTGACTGTGCTTAGCAAAGAAAGAAGTAATGATTTAGGCATGTGGGACAGCTGGAGCGCATCTCACTGTGTGGAAGAATGAAGGTGCCTGCTTTAAACATTACTGCAGGGAGGAAAAATGATTTCTGAAAGTCATTTCAGTGCCGGAAGGCTGGGCTTGTGAGCCTGTGCCTGGGTAGGTGCCAGTTGTGCTGCCAGGGGACAGCCTGTGTGCTGAACTGGTTTGTGTCGTGGTCACACTCATCTCCTGGTGCGTCTTCTCATCCCCAGCGTGGCTGTGTGCCGCTTCTCCAACACGGGTGAGGAGTGGTACGTGCTGGTGGGAGTTGCCAAAGACCTGATTCTGAACCCGCGCTCCGTCGCTGGGGGCTTTGTCTACACCTACAAGCTGGTGAATGGTGGTGAGAAGCTGGAGTTTCTGCACAAGGTGAGAGGGGGGGGGAAGGCCTTGTGGGATGGCTGGGTTGGGATAGCTGTTAGTTCATCTTGAGTGCTGTGGCAGTACTCAGTTCTCAGCAAGGTGGTCGTGCAGATGTTAAACACTGGAAACGGCCTGGGAGAAAATAAGCTGCCTTCCCCACAATATGTCCCCACGACATCTGCAGGGCTGAGAACTGAACAGGTTTCTGAAGAGTCACAGTTCTTTGTAGTAGCTGTGTAGGTAGTAGTAGCTTGTCTGTCCGACCGAGAAAGGAGCAGTGTTTTTCATGACTTCGTTCACGAAGGGAAAGAAACAGCTCTGCTTCCACTTTGGAGTATGAGTTAGTAGTGCTGCTCTGAGCACTTGTTTGCAAAGTCAGTTCATACTTGGATCACTCAATCCCTGGTGCTGAGGCTCAGTCCTGTGCTGGCCGCGTGGAGCTGTCGTCTTTCCTCTGATGCTGTCCTGGTTTGGTGTAGGAAGCATTGGTCGCCTGTGACCAACTTGGTTTGGAGGTCCCTGGAGCTTGAGCAGAGGTTTCAGCAGAACTGTGCTTAAACAAAATTCTGTTCTTCTTCCCATGTGCTTCCAGCATGGTCGAGGTATGCACAGATGAGCACGTGGAATGGAATGTTGTGGTTTCCTTCACTTCCTACAGTGCTGGTGCAGTGAGTGGGTTCTGTCCTGGCCCAGGGCCCTTTCTGCTGCCAGTCAACACCCACGTTGGAGGTGACAGAGCTGATTGAGTGAAGTAACTTCTCTTGACCAGCTCTGCCAAGCTGGGATCACTCCAAGCTCTGCCCATTCACTTTCTCTGCTGTGGCTGATCCTTTTGGGCTGATAATGAAGTACTTGTGGGAGACTTTTCAGCCCCGAGTTACTGGAACTGTGGGGTGCACCAAAGTTGATTCAGTGACAGCTTCAGAGCTTCTGTGGCAGATGATGAGCTGGAGTCATGCCTCTGTTGCGAAAGGCATCTGAACGGATTTAGGCAAAGGACAAAATCTTTCTTTTTGGGGGAAAAAGCAAAACAACAGAGGCTACAAGGTCTTCATTTTCCTTTGCTGCCTGCCCCACGCGGGGTTCACACAGCTGTCTGACACTTCACTGAGGAGCACACTGCACTTCTCAGAGCTCCGTTAGCACCACGTATGCTTTGTGCTGGTGTCCAAAGGCCTACAGAGCACTGACCTTTTGCCCCACCTCTACAAAAGGATTGTGATTAGCCTTGGCACAGGCCAGCGGGCTTCAGGCGAGCCATTAGCTTGAATGTTTTGTGGAGCTTGGTGTGAGATGAGCTCTGTTGATGGTGTCTCACAGTCTTCCTCTTCCAATTCTCTCCAGACCCCCGTGGAGGAGGTTCCTGCAGCCATCGCCCCTTTCCAAGGTCGAGTCCTGATTGGAGTGGGAAAGCTCCTGCGTGTGTATGACCTGGGCAAGAAGAAGCTGCTTCGGAAGTGTGAGAACAAGGTACAGTTCTGTTCTTCACCGTGGCAGCTGACCCAGAGCGAGAGCTGCCATGCAGCGTGAGTGAAGCAAAGGTTCAGCTGCTGCTGCAGCCCAGATGTGTGCCCTTGGGCTTCAGTGCTGCTCTTCTGCCTTGCTGCAGCGTGCTGCCTGTGTCCACACACGGCACTCATAGCAGCTCTGCCTGGACTGCTGCAGACCCCTCACCCTTCCGATGGCAGCGTGGCGTTTTTCTTTCTGCACCAGCTCAGCGCAGGCCCGAAGTGGACGTGTGTAGGAAGTTAGAAGGGCCTGAAGTGGTGATGCTGTGGCCATCTGCTGCAGATGTGGGAGGTCTCATCCAGATATACAATAACAACTGCTGGGAATGTTTCCTTAAGTGAAGTGCTCAGCGGGCTGGGGGCAGAAGCTGGATGACGTAAATGAGCGCCTCTTCAGATTGCTGGAGTCCTGAAAATGGGATTTTTCTCTTAAAATCTTTATTGGACTTCAAGACACTAAAACGACTTCCTTTCTTGATCAGCAATTCTGGTACTTTAAGAAGTATCAGAGCATGGTTTTTCTAACTCCTGATTGCCTGCTCCTCCTTCTCATGCAGGTTGCAGAGCCCGTGCCATTTACTTGTTACTGCACAGCAGAACTCCAGCAAGTTCATGGGTGCACTGGGAACTTGCAGTGGCCTGGCTTTTTCAGTTGTTTCTTTGTTTTTGTTGCTTTTTTCCTTAAAATGAGAAATTTGCTTGCATGAGAAGTTGAAGCTTACCTGATGTAGTTGGTTGGCAACCCTGCCCACAGCAGGGTGTTGGAGCAAGGTGACCTTTAAGGTCCCTTCCAACCCAAGCCATCCTGTGATGCTGTGATTCTTGGGTCCTTCATGATGAGAGCGGTGAGGAGCACTGCAGCAGTTGGTGCTGCTGACATCTGGTTTGCCAGGAGCACTTTATTCTGGATGCTGGTGTTACTTAACAAGCTGTGAATGCCGTGCAGTGCATGTAATGTTGCAAGGGCCCTTTATTGTCAGTGTATTTAACTTGGGGCTGTGGAATACTGTAAGTGATAGGTGATGGTGGAGGGAATGATGGGAAGCAGGGAGCCAGGTAGTTCCCAGAGGTAAATATTGTTTCAGGTGAAGGGTGGAGTTCGGGTGGGTAGTGGCACTTCCCTGTTGGAAGCACTCGAGTTTTGCCCTTTCTCTCTCCCAAAAGCACATTGCCAACTACATCTGTGGGATTCAAACCATCGGGCACAGAGTGATCGTTTCAGATGTTCAGGAGAGCTTCATCTGGGTGCGCTACAAAAGGAATGAGAACCAGCTCATCATCTTTGCTGATGACACTTATCCCCGCTGGGTCACCACAGCAACTCTCCTGGATTATGACACCGTGGCCGGAGCAGACAAGTTTGGCAACATCTGCGTGGTGAGTGTGCCTTGAAGGAGCTGGGACTTTTTGGACATGAAGTATTTTTCCTTAAAACACCCATGATTTGTCTAAAAAGAATGAGAATCTGTGCTCAGCTCCAGACAACGCCCTGTACCATTCACTCGCTGTGCTCACAGTGGATGGCTGCTGTTTATCAGTTCAGCTGAAGTAAACAACTTAAACACGATTGCATTTCTGAAGCATCCAATAACTTGCATTAGAGCTGTCCCCAGACTCGAAGGCCTCGAAACAAAACTCCTGACCCTGAAGGGGCCCATGAGAGCCCTCATCAGGTTATCTCTTGCTCTCCCTGGCGAACCCTCAGCGCTGGCATTTGGCTTTCTCTGACACTTCCTCATGAAAGCTGGCTTTGTCATTGCTGTCTCTTCCCACTTGGCTGGCTTTCAGCAGAGGAGGAAAGAATGGATGGTCGTTGTGCCAGAACTTTCATCTTCTTCTGCAGCGTGCTGGGTGCTTCGGAGGGCAGAGTTCAGCCAGTGGCAGGCGTTACGCCTGCAGGATCTGGCCAACGTGTGCAAATCAGTCCTCTGGTTTTCTCAATTCACACCCTTCCACTGTTTCATTACTGATGTGCACCTTCCAAGCAGTGCTGTGACTGTGCCTCCTGCCAGTCTGACCTGCAGAGCCCAGGCAGAGGCTGCTCATGAGCCCCCTGTCTGCGTTTTTGAGTCTTGACAGCACAGATGTTTAACACTAAGGCCCTTGTTGGAGGGGCAAATCAATGGTACAGTGAGCATGAAATGGCCAAAAAGATTCTTCAGAACTGCATGTTAACAGCTTCTCCACAGCCTCTTGACTTTTTCCTGCTCTTACAACACAGGTGAGGTTGCCTCCCAACACCAATGATGAGGTAGATGAGGATCCCACCGGCAACAAAGCTCTCTGGGACAGAGGGCTTCTTAATGGAGCATCACAGAAGGTAACCTTTCGTGGGGTGCACGTGGTTATTGAGGGAAAAGAACGTGCTGCTTTCCTGTGAAATCCTCTGCAGTTCTGCTCCCAGTGCAGCGGGTGATGAGTTGTCACTGGGAGCCGAGTTCTGCTTCTGAAACCACGAGCGATGCCTGTTGAGTGAGGCCTGATTGAAGCAGCGTGCTCCTTTTCTTTTCCTGCTTTCTCTCTTTGTGTGCATCTGCTTGTCCAGCTCGAGAGGGTTATTGAGCACGTGCTGAGCTCTGCCATCTGGTCACAGGTGGAAGGCTCTTCCCCTTCAGAAAGCAGTCTCAGAACTAGCAGGTGGCGGAATTCATTCTGCTTCTCCTCTATCAAACCTCCTGATGCTTTTCTATGAGCTGAAGAAAACACTCGCTTCTGTGGTTGACTTCCAGGCTGAAGTGATTATGAATTACCACGTGGGAGAGACAGTGCTTTCATTGCAGAAGACCACGCTGATCCCGGGAGGCTCCGAATCTCTTGTCTATACCACCTTATCAGGGGGAATAGGGATCTTAGTTCCTTTTACTTCCCATGAGGTAAGCAAGCCCCATCTTAATGCTGCAGAGCCGCTGCTTTTCTGCCCTTCTGTCCCCAACCAGTGTGTTAATTTGCTTCATTCCTTGGGAGGAACTGCAGGGCTCTGCAGTCTGTGGAAACCAGGCTCCCCTCTCTCCCCTCTCTCCCCTCTCTCCCCTCTCTCCCCTCTCTCCCCTCTCT